CATTTTCCCCAGTTTTAATTTTTTGCTTTTTTGCTTTTTTGTTTGTGATGTTTTTTGCATTTTTTGTTTTGCGCCATCATTACATTATGTGCAGTCCCCTTATGTACTTGCCTATGCTGAGTGTTTGTTCAGCCTTCTATATAAATTAAATGCTTGTGTCAAAAAAGTCAATATTTAGCTAACCAATAAAAGAAAAAAGAAATCACACCACCTGACTGGCAGCTGCAGGTACGGGAACAGATTTGTATACTTCTGCGTGGAAATAAAATTTCATAATCAGCATAGATCATTTCGTTAGAAGTTACGGTCACCTTAACACAGTGCGAATCATTTTTCAAGATTGAAATCAATTTAATTAAAAATAAATTATAAAAACTACAAAGTTATATGCTTCTGGTATCCAATTCAAGCAGAATTCGCATTTAAATTCATTTCGCATTTCATATTTGCCACCAGGCATTCCACAGCTCATTGTCATGTCAATTAAATCTCAGAGCACCTTTCAGCTTTTACATTTCAATTCCATAAATAATTAGTAAATATGGCATTAACTCTTGCAATTATTGAGCCAAAGGCATACTGTATTCACCAGTATTGGCGTGTCAACAGGAAAACTGTTGACAATTCTATTTTCCCTTCCTTTTTGAATAGGCAAATATCTAACCCACTAAAAATCCATTCAAGGTCATTGGTTTAAACACAAATAAACTGCTTGCATTTATTTCTAAACAAACTAATAAAAACAAGATGAAAAAACACAAACATTGACAGGACAACAAAGCAAACAAACGCTCAACTCATGAATGAATAATTTGTCGCGTTTAGAACCAGAAGGTCTCAAATTGGACCATTTCAATACAACAAAACCCTGGCAGAAAAAATAGCATTGAGGACTTTCACCTGGAAAATTCCACAGGATGTCTGCGGCATGTCTGCCCCTGAATGACTAGCAATCCACAAAAAAAAAAATCAACAAAACGGGGGAGGTGGAAAAAAGCACAGCCAAGCATTTATACAAATATATAGAAAAAATCTAATCGAAGGCAGTCCAAAAAGAGAAATGCATAGAAAATGGAAAAACGGAAACGCGTCACAAAAAGTCGAACACAAGCCGAAAAAGCCAAATTCGTGCGGAAAAAATATTTCTGTCGCGTAAAAACGTTAAGGGGGATAAGGAAAAAAATGTGCACAGGCGTAGCAATTGAAAATGCAAAATAAAAAGTGAGCTGTGGAAAAAATGGCGTTAGATTTAGGACAACAAAAGCGAAGACAAAAAGTCGCTTTTCCGGCTCGGCGGTGCACCCAGTCGAGACCAAAGCGTTTTTGCGGTCTCGTCTCGCAGGTTTTTAGTTGAGCTTCGTTTTTGTTATTTCCCCTTTATTTAATATTGGCTTTAGCAGTTGTGGCAGAATGTCAACAAAGCGCTAACACAGCTTCAACAAATTTATTCTATTTCGCAAATTGTTCCGCTCGCATTCATTAGAAGTTAGATTGAGAGAAATCTGGGGACTATTTTCTAGCCCCAGGATGGAATGTGAAATATAAATGTTCAAGCCTGGAAATACACTGTATGCAAGCTAGATGATAAACACTCGATCTTTGTGTTAAGGATTTTGTAACTATTACCAAAACTTTCTTAGTTCTTAACTTAAATCCTTACATTTTAGTTAGAGATCAAATTTATCATCTTCGCACATAATGGCTTACATTGAGGATCAATAAGTATAATGCTTTTTGCTCTGAATAACTCAAATTAGATTTTTCTGTTTCACAAAACTGTGGCTCGCTAAACTATGTAAATCTCCACTACGAGTATCCTTCGCGCCGCATTTCTAAGTGTATAAATATAAATTTAAATACTGGTTTACAATAACAAATAAAGTTCTCCCTTGAAACTGTAGAAATAGACTCAAAAATATTAAAGTGAAAGTGAAAACTTGAAAGCAAACCTCGTCGGAAAAAAAATCGTTCTCGGACCAGTGAAATCAAATTAAACCAAAATAGATTTAATCAGCAGCCAAATGGAAGGCCGTCTAATCGAGTATCGGCCGATAGGCGGTGGCCTCGACTACCATCACAACTCGCCGCTGATCGGCGAGATTCCGCCCGCTGGTGGAGACTATTCCCATGCCGTTCATCGATCCATAGACCACCTGCGGAACAGCCTCAACGAGCGGGTGGCCTTGGGCCCCCTGAGTGTCTTCTCAAACACGGCCGACTTGAGGAACTCCGTTCTCAGCTACAGCCAGCAACCCCACCAGCAATCGCACCCACCGCAGCAGCAGCAGCAACAGCAGCAGCAGCAGCAGCAGCAGCATCAGCAGCAGCACCACCAGTACCAGTTGGTGCCGGAGCCCAAGCCGAGTATCACCAATCTGGAGAGCAGTGTGGCTTCCTCGGGGGTCAGTGGAACGGTTACCAGCAGCCAGAAGCACGTGAACGATGCGGTGGTCAGCAGCAGCAGTGGGAGCAGCTCCGCCACGGGAACCGCACCCACTGGATCCACCAGGGGCCGCAAGTCGCGCATCTACCCCAATCCCAACCAGCACATCATTGTGACGAGCAACAGTGTGGATAACGGCGGCATCCGGATGCAGAATGCGACGCTGAACGAAAGGAATCCCCAGAATTCATCCACGGGAACGCCTACTGTGGGTGGCGTGACCACGGCAGCGGGATCGGGGAACGGCATCTCGTCCTCCACCAGTTCGCCGCATCACATAACCCAGTTGGACGTAAAGGACACCAAGGTGATGGGGAACTTTTCAACAAAGTTTTTAAACAATTTATATTTGATTTAAGGGGTCAAAAAACACTTTTATTTTACATATTATGTTTTCTAAAAACAAAGAAACTTTTAATACATATTTTATGTGTTGGTTTTAATGGTGCAAATAAGTGCTTAATTTGCACTGATAAAAGCTCTGAATAAATAGTGCCACATATATATCATAAAGAGTTCGTCAATTGTTCATATTGCGCTTTGGCTTATTACTCATACGTCCTGTTGCCTTTACCCATATGTATTTTTTTTATACCGGTGGCATACGTTTAGTATTACTTTTTAATCCGTGACACTATTGACACTTTTCCAATCACTGCCACAATTTTTTTCTTTTACTTTACTTGGGATTGGCAATTACTACTTAATAGAAAGAAATAAAACAATGTAGGTCGCTACACCGAAATAAAATCGATACAATTACCAACTAGGTGTCAATGTGATCCTATTGAGTGGTTAAAAGTCTCTAATAAGAATGTCATCAGATTGAGATGTATATTAGAGTAGACCGTAATTTTCGAAATTATCCATTCGCATTAAGAGTGAAAATATGCCATTATCGATTCCCATATTCTTAGGGTCATTTAAGGGTCCATTTAAAGAATTTCTATCAATTTTGGCGTCAAATCGTTCCATGCACCAATTGATTATGGTATAATAATACTTTGTTTATCACACTTTTAATATAAATTTAAATAGTAAAAAGCAGTCTTGACCATAGAATATGTCTTCTTGATTTCAGTAAATCCGTTCTTGGCTCACTATTGAGCACGGAAATACTGATATCGGGACTGTTGAGAACGGTTTTTTTCTCGATATACAGACTGATATGGCTAGATCGACTCTCCTTGTCATGCTGGTTGGGTCGGGAATGTGTACTCAGACTTAAATTATAATAACATTTGTAAGGATATAAAAATTAACGAGAAAGTTTCCTTGCTCCCAATAGATCATTTAATTTTTCATAGCTTCGTGGTTTTAAGATATTTGGTTACATCTTGCTCACTTTTTTGCAAAGTATCTGATTTTAGATTAGTTTGCCTAAATTAGGAATAGCTTTAAATTTAATTTTAAATAAAATAATTAACATTTTACAAATATTAAGTGAAAATGTTTCTTCCTTTAACCTGAAACCAATTTTACAACATTTTCCTCACCAAATTTTTGCCATGGCAGCGTTGACTGTTGCTTAATAAATTTCGATAACATTAATGCCAAAATTTGAGGAATCTCAATTCAAAAACAATTCCAAAAAAATTTTTTTTTAAGCTGATAAACAGACACCGAAAAAAAGCATTTTTAGAATAACTTTTCAATGGAGCATCTGATCCAAGCCAATTGGGTGATGGTCGAAGCGTATTTGCAACAAAATTTCAACTGTGCTAAAAATTATAATATTAATATTAATAGATACTAATATTTTACCAAACAGGGCTCAAAAACTCCACTTAAACAAATGTTTAATTTGTCACTTTCACCGCCCTTTCTCCTGAACCAATTAATTTTCCTAAAGTTTTTAACATAATTTGGTTTTTTTTGTAGCCCATTTAGGATTAATCCCAAAAACCGATACTATGAGTAGTGACATATTTAGCCACAAATAAAAAATTAAAAAAAACCCTCGACTGTTTGGGGTATAAGAGTCCATAGCCAAATAGTTGCACTATAGCAAAAATATCATAGGTTTAGGCAGTTAATTTCAGTTCGGCCGTTATTTAGAATCAAAGAACCCGTTAAATCGTCCTTTTTGGTTCTTTCAGATCATTTTTCTCTAAAAACTGAAGGTGATGGAGAAATTCCAAGATTGAGGTCGTGCTCAGCACATCGAGATTTATTGGGCCTATATAGTCGCACCAATATACAATTTCCTTGACCTCGATTTGTGGCACAGTGTTCTTTAAGTTAGCTTTCTAAAGAAACACTTAATAATTTGAATTTAAAGAATACCAAATACACTTAAAGCTCGTTTCATTTAACATATAAATAAGTTTTATGTATAAACAAAAACAAACGTGAATTATTCAAATCAAGACCATAAGAAATTGAAAAACAGAGTTGGGATATCGATTATAAGGTATTAAAGTGGCACTATAAACTGTTCACAGTCAATAACAAATTAAAATACATACAGATAGTGAAGAGCGCTTAACAACTCCAGCAGCAGCCAGGCAGAATTTCACTCTTTACGCCCGTCCTAAATGTCCCCTTGCCTTCACAGATCTTCAGCTCGAAGGCGGACCTGCAGCTGCACACGCAGATCCACATGCGGGAGGCGAAGCCGTACAAGTGCACCCAGTGCTCGAAGGCCTTCGCCAACTCGTCGTATCTGTCGCAGCACACGCGGATCCACCTGGGCATCAAGCCGTACCGCTGCGAGATCTGCCAGCGGAAGTTCACGCAGCTCTCGCACCTGCAGCAGCATATCCGGACGCATACGGGCGACAAGCCGTACAAGTGCCGGCATCCCGGCTGCCAGAAGGCCTTCTCGCAGCTCTCCAACCTGCAGTCGCACTCGCGGTGCCACCAGACGGACAAGCCGTTCAAGTGCAACTCCTGCTACAAGTGCTTCTCGGACGAGCCCTCGCTGCTGGAGCACATCCCCAAGCACAAGGAATCGAAGCACCTGAAGACGCACATCTGCCAGTACTGTGGCAAGTCCTACACGCAGGAGACCTACCTGACCAAGCACATGCAAAAGCACGCGGAGCGGACGGACAAGCGGCCACCGATTGCGCCGGGCAGTGCGGCGGCCCTTGCGGCGGCCGCCGCCGCCGCTGCCGGCGGAGCGGGCATACCGGCCAACGGACCGCCGCCCACCAATCCCAATCCCCCCAGCACCAGCGCAACAGCCTGGGCCTGCCACCCGTTTCGATTGCCCCCAGCGATAATGGCTACTGGCCGAAGGTGAGTCCGGACTCGGCCGCCGCAGCCAATGCCATGGAGGTGATGCACCAGCAGCAGCAGCAACAGCAGCAGCAGCAGCAACAACAGCAACAGCAGCAGCAGCAACAGCAACAACAGCAACAGCAGCAGGCGCACCACCACCACACGCAGCACGGAGTCCCGCCTCAGCAACATGTCCCGCCCCAGCAGCAGCAGCAGCAACAACAGCAACAGCAGCAGCAGCACCACCATCCGCAGCAGCAGCCGCCCCCGCAGCACAGCATGGAGGCCCACTACGCACAGCCGACGGCGCCCAATGGTGCCCAGAGCAACGGACACGGACCGGAGTTGCAGCCCCACCACCGCATGCCCGATCCCGTGCGAGAGGATATAGGTATGTGATCACCAACGTGTATACCACTATATCTGCATGCTGATTTTAAATTTGTGTAATCTGTCTTTATAAAATCTGCGGTATCTCAGAAAAACTCCAGAGCTTTGGACTTTTTTCCTAGCTTCTTGAGTGTACTTTTGCAACTTTTATTTAAATTTTGTTTATGTTGTGTTTTTAGGCAGCACCTCAGAGTCATCGGGACTTCCAACAAATAGTTACAAAACAGTGTATTTAAAAACCTCTGATGTCCCTGATTTTCAAAATTTTCATAAACCTAAGATCCAAAGAACAAAGATTTATTAAACTATTTTTATAAATTTAATTTTATTATTTACCATTTTACTACAATTAAAATGTTTTTGTTTTAAAGTGTCTTGCTAAAACAGAGACCATTTTGCCCTAACCTGTGTGTTGAAACCGAAAGCTAAAGTTAAAATGTATCCTAAATGTTTTTTTTTTAATGACTTTTTTTAATATAAAATATTATAATATATAATAATATTCATTTTATCCAAAGACTTTTGAAAAGGTTATATTTTATTAACAGTGCCACAGTAGTTAAAAGGTTTTCCTTGCAATGCTTAATTAGTTGTCCGTAGAAAAAATTATTTTTTTTTTTTTAAATTCAAAGAGTTATCTGATTAAAAAACTGGGAGTTCCTTAAAGGAGGATCGCATTAAAATAAATGACAAATTTAAAATATCTCAGAAATAAAATAAATCATGGATTCTTAATTAGAGGGCTAAATCAAAAAAATGTAATTATTATTTCTTGATTCATGATTTTCGGTCGATCTTAATGTCATGTGGTGTTGATACCACAATAATTTCTTTCGGCAAATTCATTCGATAAAACGAATTTGAATTCAAAAATACCATATTCAAATATTCGTTTTAATTTCCGATTAAAAAGCCTTGCTCATTGCCGAGCTTCTGCTGCTATAACCGATAATCGAATCGTTGTTTTAAAACATTTAATGTTTCAGTAACTAGACACAAATATTTTACTAAGGTTTTATTTAACTTTCCTTCAACAGTTTCGACTCCCAGTGTCGTGGGTCCCTATGATGCCGCATCTATAACGAAAACCACCAGCAACTCAGCCTTCACGCCGATAAACTCGATGCCGCCGCACCTGAACTCGCTGAGCCACCACCCGATGGCCCAGCGACCCTATCTCTACGATGCCATCAGCTTCCCGAACAAGAACGTCAACCAGAACAACGCCAACGCGTTCCCCAACCAGCTGATCTCGCTGCACCAGATCCGCAACTACGCCCACCAGCCGGCGGGTCTGATGGCCGGCGAGCATCTGCTGGGCGTGAGCGTGGGTCCTGGGAAGGACAAGGGGTAGCTGGGGGCCTACTTCTAAGTTCATGCGGTTCATCCTTTAGTTCTCCGATCAGAGACGAGGCGTGCATTCCTGTACAGTATTAATTTGTAGTTAGTCGTAGCGCGTAAAGGGCTTTTGTAACTTTGGTAGATCTTATTTCGATTTAGTTAAGGGTGCTCCTGCGCACCTTATAAGTAAAACTGTAAATGGCCAACGATACGTACTCTAATTTGACCAACACCGTCCATGCTTTTGTTTACGCAATGTCTTGAAATACGAACACAAGGAAAAGTATAAAAACTCTGTCCAGCAAACGTTTCCCCATCAAGTACTTGGTTTTCGTAGACCTCGTCTATTGTCCCCTGTAAATATAATTGAAAATTAATTTATTTTTGATGCACAAACGGATCTCGCAGTCTTGAATCAATGGCAGAAGTCAAAAGCTGCAAACTAAGCCGACACTTGTACATATATATATACATCAACCTAAAGGAACTTACCGGCAAACGTAATTTACACTTAAATACAAATCTTCTTAAATATAATTGCTTAGGTGTATCGTATTAAATACAGATATTTCTGAGAGAATCTTCTTGAGAAACAAAACACAGAGAGCGAAAAAAAATTTAAGTAATCAAATGTGTTTACAACTATAGATGAAACTATGCGATAGATGAAAACTATTTTAAAAGAACCTTTTCTAAGTATATGTTGGCAGTTGCAGAAACAGAAACAGAAGGAAGAAGACCTAACCGAACAGAGATGTTGTATTACGTTTTGGAAAGACTGAAGTGATCAAAATTAATGAAAAAGAAAAGGAAATTAAGAAAAATCGAACATTTTAAAGAGCGTTTTTACCGCAGTTACTAAGCAAACTGAATGTGTCCTAAACAATTTCGTACTAAATGGCAGAAACTAAACCTAAACGTAAATACGAGTATGAAAACATCAAATGTAATGTATTATTAAATAAAGTAACCTTAATTGTAATCTTAATCTTAATCTAAATCTAACCTAAATTTAAACTAACCCATAGTTAGTGTTTAACTCCAGATTGCAATCTCAATGTAAAGACAAGCCCGAAGTGGAACACAAAACAAAATACCTACAGTTAAGTGAATAGCAAAATGAACTCTGAACCACACACACACACGCATTAAATAGAAACATTTGGGGAATTCAGATAGCTGAGCTAAATGATTATTTGTTTTACCGTCTAACGATTACAGATGAGTACAGTACGATTTCAATGGCTAAGATATGCAATTACAAAGAATAGTTCTCGATTGGACGACGATCGCCGAATATGCATACATACTAATATAATTGTCAATAGTAGATGTGTGTTCCTCAGTTGATGTAAATTGATTTCCGATTAACCACGAACTCAACCCGTAATAAAGTGAATTAAATGTTTCCCATCGCCTGTGTCTCGGCAATATCAATTTGGATGGCCTTCATAAACGGGCTGTGCTATAGTATTTTCAAATTATTTCCCCTAGCTTTTACCGCCCTCTTTGTCTTGTATCATCAAAGATCTTCTCGCCTCCATCCGATCCATGGAAATTTCTAGCGATAACCCAGTGGTCGGTAAGCCAGACGGGTCTCAACTGCACGTGGAACTCCAAGGGCTGCATCAACTTTACCAAGGCCAAGGAACTCAAATACTTCCCATCTGATCTACCGCTTTATTATAAGCTTTAGCTTTCATCACTAGCTCATACCGTAGATAAACTTATATTTTTGCTTTTAGGTTGAAAAAAATGTTGCACAAAAATGTTGATAGTTATAGTTTAAGTTGGTGGTAGATGAGCATTTTTATCAAAACAAAGCTTATTTTCAGGCGATGTCAACTGGCCGCCTCGCCGCTGCGGCCAACCATCCAGGGACGATTGACAACCTAAAGCACGAGATTTCATTGAGGACCATACAATCGAAAATGTACTGAAAAATTGGGTCGATCGGATGACCTACTGCAAAGCCTTCCAGGGCAGCCAAATGAATGAAGTGGTCTTCCAAAAATATTTCGCAATGTATTCAATTAATTTTTGTATTTGTAATAATTACACGATTTATTTATTTTAAAATGCAACTTTTTCGTGGGCAACAGGGTGAATATCGATAAATATTTATTGAATTTTATATATATATATTTTTTTTACTGCTTATCCCATAGGCTTGATTATAATCTTTTGAAAATGCAGAGACAAGTAAACACGATAAAAAACTGAAATAAATTAATAATTTTATCGGGTGTGTCAGCATTATTCTAAAATCGGCAATAAATTGGCAATACACATACGTTAATTGATACTAATGAGGGACACTTTGTGGAGCTTGTACGGGTGGAGTTTGAGGGGCAAAAAGGTCAAGTCTTACGCCTCACTCTGAACCACCGTATAGATCCCCTAAACTGCGAATTTTGGCCGTCTGATCAAAGCCGGAGGAGGATCCTCTCTTCGCCGTTCAGACCGTTGAGGCAGTTCAGATGGACAACGATTTTGTCCGGAACACTCGCACTCGCCTGGAAAGTTGTGCGCTCCACGAAGCTCACGGCATCCTAATTAGACCTCTCAAACGAAGTATTGCAAGTAAAGTGTAGCTCGACACTTATGTTAAACGACAACGCAACCACGCTACAAATTGGAAAAACTCCAAGAGCGGTTTTTAATCTTCCACCGTCATTTAGTTTAAGCCAATTAATTAACTTAAAGTCTTGGCCTGCGCGCTTCTAAGTTGAAATAAAAGACCATTAATATGTATCAAAGTATAATAAAATCAATTAAAAGCAGCGAAATCTTAATTTGTTTCATATATTTTTCCAATGAGTCTAATGGGAGCTATATGATATAGTCGTCAGCTTTTAATAAAAATAGATCTGAAATATTACACCATAACAATATCTCAAAGAATATAAAATAAATATTAAGAAAACAGCTAAGTTATATTTATACCCGTTACTCGTAGAGTAAAAAAAAAATATATTGCATTCGCTGAAAAGTATGTAACAGGTAGAAGATAACGTACATCAGGCTTTGCATAGCTTTCAAGCATGCATTCTCGTCATCACAGACTTTGTTTTAACACAACTGCAAATCGTTCTCTACTATACAGTCAACAATTCCGTCGCACCTCTGATTGTTTTTGGTGATGCATTTGAAAGAAAAAGTACAATATAAAATAATGCAAGCACAATAAAAGGATGATTTCTGCCAGTTACAATTTTCTTAACTAAAATCGTAATTGTAATTTTCCTAACCAGATAATTCAAATGCACAAAACAATGAAACTTTCGATTTGGGAGTAAATTGTCAGATTGGTATTGTAAACTTGTGTTATTATTGACTTACAGGTCTCGGCAGATTGCAAAGGAAGATCGAATTAACTTGCCGGAAACTAAAATAATTAACGCTTGTGAAAAATTTACTAATATTTCCTATATTGCACGTAAGAGACAAACAACTATAGAATACACTTTCACCTTACCTAGAATGCACAACACCAATCTATTGGGTTTTATGAATAAGCCTAGCTAATTACTATATCTAATCTATAAATGAAAGCAAGTGAGTTTTCAGAAGAGTAATATTTTAAAATGTTCCCGATCAGAGCTAATGCTTTTAACATCGCAAACTCAAATATAAAATCGTATATAGAAGCGACAGAGATAAGACCCAATTAAAAGAAATGATTTGAGTACACACACTTTTTTTATAATACGTTTTATTACTGAAATTAACCATTTGATGTAGCTTACAATTACTATTATATATAATGTAGAATTATACACATCTCATATAATTCGGTTTCCTTTGCAAAAACTCATCGCATATGTATTGGTAATTATTGTTTTTCCATTAGACGAATTGAAGTTTTGATTGGACACGAATTGAAGTTGTATTTGCCATTCTTTTGAATCGCTATGTATGCTTGCATATATCCTTATGGTATGTACGTAGTTATTCAATGAAATTTAATTCTCTAACACTCAGTTTACAAAATATACGTAGAAGCGGGCTGATGTCTAAAGAGATCTGCTATAGTTCATAATTGTATTCAGTACACTCAGTATCAGTAAGTGGATAATGACTCGGTGTCTTTTTTAAGCTATGCTTTCTTTGGGGTTCCATTATCCATTCCAGTTATAAGTAGTGCTTATTGCGTTCGGTTTGAGCTATTCGTGAGTGGTTATACTCTAGGGTATGTTATTGGTATTCGATTTCTACATGTACTATGCTGCTTACATTATTGTATTGTGTTTGGATTTCTCTCCGAATCAATGTTTTTCTGACTTTTTCGATCGATTTGTGTGTGGTTTTGTAGCTTCTTGGTGCTAAGCATTCTGCTGCGTGTTCTCTCTAGATTCAATTTGGTTTTGTTTTATTTGTAGTTTTAGTTATTTTTATTTTTAAGAGTATGTATAAAGTGTTAAGCAGTAAGCAATATTTTCGCTTTCATCTGGACACACCTCAAGAGATTTCGGAGTGTGCGACTTTGGTGTTTGTTGTTCTCTAAATCCATGGTATATTTAAATACTTTACAATTAAACAGAAACTTTCTAAACAATGAAAATTAAATTGTACACAGACATTATGCTTAAGAGTTATGTATCATCATAAATATTTTATACATATGCATATGGATAGTAATGTATCGTTTTTGAAAATAAACTTCAGTTTTCATCGTGGTGGGCACATTAAATGGGACACTAGTTGTTTGATATGAAAATCATACATAGATATACATAAGTTACATAAAGCGAAGAAGTAAAATTCTATACAGCAACAAAATCGGTGTCCATTATTTATAGTTTTCTTCCTTTTTTTTCCTCCTCTGTTTTCTCTTCGCGTTTTCAAAATGATTTTTTCAAGATGTTTCTGAATTATCTTACACTATGCTTTTTTAAGGTCCTAAACATTTTCTAATACATTTAATTTAGTAAGTTGTGGTTGTTCGGTACATATTGGTTTTCTGCATCTGGCTTAAAATGCCCCTCATGAAAGCAACTAAATGTAAGCATATCTCTCAAAAACCAGAATAAATACAAACAAAATTGACAAATATGAGTTTTCAAAACCCTTTAAACCATATCAAATTAAATGCTAGACGTGAGACAAGTTCAAAGGAGCAGCGAACTCATGCTGATGAGCCGCGTGACTTCCGTTCAGATGCCGTTCCTGCTTCTTCCCTCCTCGAAAAGGGGCGCCAGCGCCCAAGTGGATTCCTCCCCTACTCATTCAGCTTGTGCCACTCGGCGATCTGGCGACGCGGCGAGTTGCACACCTCGTTCCAGTGGTTCAAGGCGGTGCTGCTCGAGTTCGGTCCGCCCAGCTCCAAGCGACCGATGACCTGTGGGAACGTCAAACATACGATTATCGAGCTATTAGCATTAGGTCATCCCACTTCACTTACCTCATTCTTGGTCACGCGATCCCAGTCGAGCAGCATCAACTCCAAAGACACGCCCTCAAGACTGGCGCCAGTGCCCTGTAATTTTATAAAAAAAAAACCGGTACTTGAAATAATCCATACAACATTCGATTTTATTTGTGTTTAAATTTTTTTAGTTTATAATATTTATTTATTACATTTTAACTAAATTCTTTCATTTTATTTGTAACCATTGCTAGTTTCTGACAATTTTTCAGATTTTTTAATATAACCTAAAACTCTTGTTATCTGAATGCCTGTGTTCATAGCCGCGGTTTGGTGTTATATTATTGTATTTTATAAACAAGTTGATATTTCAAGCAGATACGTATCTTATATCACCCACTAACTTAAGGCACACTTTAAAATAATTACTTTAAAGGAATTATTATTATTATTATTATTATTCTAATATTACTCAAACTTTTATACAACTTAAAAGATTTTTCTTAGATTTTAGTTTTAATGTAAGTATTAAAGTGGCAGAATGGTTACAACTTTAAAAAAACTGTTTTTTTTTAAGTACAACGTACAACATCTCAGGGATATCCTGTGAAAAATTCTTGTCGATCGGACATAAACTCGCTGAGATACAGATTGTCTCGTAATCTTGCTCAAGGCAGGTATGTGGTGTGTAAAAAACTGTACACGCGCTTTTCTCATAACTCGTAACTCAAAATGTAATGTAAATGTACATATCCTTTATACTTGCGGATGATTAATAAAAAAAAAAATGTTTTTAATACTTTTAAAGGCGATTATAGGCTGATTTTTATGTAAAAATTGTAACTCCGCGCCAAAAATTCAAAATCGCATAATTTTCAATTTAATTTCGTACATCCGCACAATATATTAAATCAATCAATTTAATTTTTATTTTTAATAACACTGTAAGTCCAGTCTTAACGCACGCTATTTTTTTGAAGACACTCTGTTATAAAAAGCTAAGCCCCAGATAATGAAAATCGGTGTTCTCAGCGTCTGAAAATTATTGGAACGAAGCAACGTAACAGAGTCTATAGTTATGCTCTATGGTTCAAAAGCGAAGGATCGTTTTGATTAAATCAATGCAGCTTAGCTCTAAAATTCATTCTCTCTCACTTGATCTGACTTCTGAAATCAGTTATAATTTTGTCGAGCCAAAAAACTTTATTGGGGAGTCCGGTCACTGTTTATTTTAGCTCCTACCTAAACGCTCAAAGTTTTTTAAGTTTTTTAACCTGGCCCTTTATTTGCTCCATACATTTTGAAATTAAGACGATAAACCGGCCCTGAGTCCATTCATTTTTACAACAAAATATTAAAATTATAAGCCACAATCGGATTAAAAAAAGTTTTTTGAAATACGAACCTATACATAAAATGTTGTATGCCAACTTTAAAATAATTTGTCATTAACTATTAAGTAATATTTTTACTTGTGTAAGTTTTCCTATCAACTTTTGAAGCCTTGTTGAGTGCAACTTGTTGAAGATTACTCACCTCGGCGGCGGGAATGTCGAAGGCGAAGCTCTCGTTGAAGACGGGACTCAGAGTGCGCTTCTTGACGTGCGTCTTCTTCTTGGCGATGCGTTGGCCATTGTAGAGGAGATAGATCTTGACGTAGGGATCGGCCAGACCGGTGACGTCCATGCGCGGCAAGTTGCGAGCCTTGAGCAGGACCACGGTGAGACGACCGGCGGCTGGCTGCCAGCAGAGCGAGATGAGCAGCTCGCCGCGGCCCTGGGCGCGAATCTTCAGGCTGCGGGGCTGAATCTCCTTGCTGATGGACAGGGCCTCTTTGGAAATGTCGCCGATCTCGATGGAGGTCAGGGGGCAAACCACCTCGCCAATGACGTCGTCGCGCGAATACCGGTCGAAGCTGAGGATGACGAAGTGCAGCGACATGTTCTGCAGGTCGTTCATGTTCAGGCCATAGAAGGTGAAGTCCTCGTCGTAGACCGGGTTCCGGGTGTTGCGCACCACGCGGGTCTTCACTTTGTGCTGCTTGTCCGGCAGCAGCTGCAGCTTGACGTACGGGTCCGTGGCCGCCTGAGTGCGTCCGTTCATGCCGGTTGGTATGTCCCCGGTTCCGCCCGACCCCCCCTTACAAGGCAGTCCCCGGCAGCGGATTATGGAGACCATCAGAGCGTTCCGTTCGGCCAGGTAGCGCAGCTTAAAATAGATGGTGCCCAGCTTGCCGTACTGGTCGCTCACGGACAGCTCCCTGCCGTTGGTCAGCGCCTGGTCGTCCAGGGTGATGGTCACGCTCCCATTGGCGATTGTCTCCACCGGCGAGTGGTGGAGGCTGCCGTGCAGCGAGTGCTTCAGCCCGTTGCCACCATCCACCACGGTCAGTTGGTTGCCATTACCGTTGCCATTGCCATTACCGTTGCCATTGCCATTGCCATTGCCGTTGTGGTGCTCCGGGTGCTGAGGCGGACCCTCGTCCTCGTCGCCGTACCTCACGTTCGGCTGGGCGATCGGGGAGGTGGACTGGTCCTGCATCGGCGACAGGAGGCCCATCTGCTTGCCGCCGGTGGGCGAGGGCGACTTCTTCAAGTAGTGCGGCGGCTGGCCGCTGGGCGACCGAACGGCGGTCGGTCGCCGGGTCGGCTGGAAGGGGAACGAGGCGTCGTGCTGGCTCTGCTTCTTGTTCCGGAGGCGCATCTGGCGGGCGCAGATGCAGGCCACCGACGAGAGCACCGCAGCCGCGGTCAGCCCCAGGATGGCGGGCACGACTGGGAACCAGGACAGAAGTGGGGAAATTTCGTTAGCGAATATATTTGAAAACTAATAAGTAAAGTACTTTAAGCAATGGCCACTGCAAAATACTACATAAGTATTTCACAATCGGTAACCAAGTCTGTTAAGCTATCCTCTATTTACCATAATTGAAAAGGTTCTATATTTAAAAAAATCTTTAATCTTTAAAATGTAATGCCTTGCTGTACTATATTGAACATGGGACATAGTGAAGGGTCCGGAATCTGGTTTTTGTGTGTAGTGAGAATATTTGGTTATATGGTTATATTTAGTGGGTAGGATAAAAATGTTAGCAAAGGAAGATCAGTATTTTCAAAAGCTATAGTTTACTCTCAAGTATGTTAATTATTTATGTTAATTTAAGTTTTCGAGGTAGTATTCACCATTATAAAATGCCTATTTTGCTTATTTATTATTAAGTCATAAAAGAGTACTAAAATTTGCTCAAAAATTATAACACGTTCCAAGATTATATTCCTAGCCTTTTAGCTTTAGCTTTTAGCTGAACAACAAAAGTTATTAAATAAAAAATGTAAAATATTAACTTTTTCTTGAGTAAATGTATTTCAACCCTTGAACCCTTTTAAACAACTTTTTTCTTTTTTAGAATAGAACAAACAACACATATATCTGCGATTAGTCACCAAAATGAAGAGTATGGGTTCTCCTCAAATGTTGTTTTGTTATTAAATGTAACCTACAAAGACCTTGACTTTTACAAATCTTTTCTTAGGTGACGTTTTCGAGAGTTCACATAAACAAGCCCACATAGCAATCGTTTTTCCATAAAAAATGACAAACGAAACCGCAATCAAAAGTGGCGCACACGAATGATATGCCACTCCGCAAGTACAGAGACCCGAATTAATTATTCATTGCCAACGAAAAAGTTAACGAAAACTTTTCTAATGAGCAAATTGGGCAGATCTGCGACAAAGGTCGCATTTGGCGCTGCAATATGTTACTTACTTGTGTCCATGAAGCTGACATCTGGTATATACTCTTCAGCCATTTTTAATGGATTAGGCTTCGCCGCTCTCAGCACGTTCCTCTCGATGTTCCTTGTAGCTGTGTGGAATAACAATTAGTCACAATTGGTAAGTGTGGAAGGTGAGGGGTGGTAAGGGGGAAGGGGGATGAAAACTTTTGGTAACTGTCTTTGGATGTTTGCAACTTTCTGTGGCACGTGAAAAGTTTCGTACATCGATTTTGCGCACAAATGTGTGCCCAGGTTATGCTTTTGTTGTTATTTGCATTACTTGGGAAGACACACAAATACACTTATTTAGGGGGAGCGGGAGAGTCACCAGCTAAGGGTGCTCGTCTGGGGTCGCATGAATCATCACAACCCCCGCACACACGCACACGAAGTTCGCTGCTTTTTCTTGAATCGCCGTTCGATGAAAAAACACGTCTTAAAAAATTTTTTTTATCTTCGACTCTTGTCTTAACTGAAGATTAAGAGAGAATATCTATGCTTTTGCAATCACTTTCTATTTTTTTCATTTTTCATTGCTGGTTTTAGCATCACAGCTTCTTGTAAGTCATTTACTTTGCAGCTGCCTGCCAGTTCTTAGATCTTTATTTTTCACAATTTTGATTTTAATAATAATAGCCTCTAATGAGCAATACTCTTACTTTTTTGTGTCTTTCCTTCACAATTATTTGTAACAATTAAACACTGTGCAGTGCCCACGATTTGTGGAAAACAAATTCAACAACGCAGCTCAGCAGCCGTTTGACTTTATTTTGCCAGTGGCTTCTTCGCTTGACTTCGCTTGGAAATCGTTAAACCTGCGCAGACGCATGGAAAAGTAAGAGCTTTCGTGTGGGCTGGCTAACTGGGAGCGGTGGTTGAAGAAACCTGTGACGTCTTAGCCAAAAATAAGGGAGGTTACACCAGGGTTTTACAACACTGCTAAACAACAAAAAAAGTAATGCATGTGAGCTTCGTTAAGGTTAAAGCACTTACTTGCGCTACTCGCTTCAAACACCTTAAAGCTGCAAGCTTAGGCCAAGTTTCAGAGAGCGACAGCTTTCTGGCCAGCTTAAAGCTCACTTTCGTTAAGTTAAAGCTTTTCTTCGATTTAAAAAGTCTCGCGCCTGCCGGCCAGAAGCTGAGTCGGTAACGCTCTGCGTCTGCGCGCAGTTCATTCAAAGAAGTGAAGAGTCCGAGACCCCAAAAAACCGCATCCAGTGCAGTGCTCAAGAGGGTAACTCAGAAAAACCCTAGAAGGCAGTGACCGAAAACTATTGTGAGCCGAAGTCAGTGTTTTTTAATGTGCAATAAAAGCTGGTAAAGAAACGTTTAAGCTTAATAGCACTCAAGTTTTTATCTTCTTCGAGCCATTGAGCAATTCTCCCGGAGGCATTTTCGTTAAGGAATAAACACTTAATTCAATATTTAAAACATAAAAGGAAACACGACACCAAACCACTGGACTCTACGATCGTAAGTTGATGTAATTGCTTTATTTTCATTATTTTTTTTTTGGCTCTTCGGCTTTTCACAACCGAAAAATCCGCATGCCCGTTTCTGGCATTGAGGAAGCTTGGCAGATTTGGCCAACTTTGGGGGCCCGAAGTCGGCTGGAAATTTGCCATTGTCATAAGCCCAAGAAACGGAACTTTGTTCGGTCTTCTGATGGCTCACGGCGATAAATTGTACTGCACTTTTTAGCAATAGCTGCGATTCGATTCGATTCGTTTGTTTTTCTGGCCCACCACAATGTATGTCTCACGATTTCTGCTCTAGACACGTTTCTACTTTAAGTTACTGGTTTATATTTCTTTTTCCACACACATCAAACCGGGCACCCATTGTCTGCTATTTGACCACTAGTGCGATCGATTTTGTGCTCAATTACACACCGTATTATCCGTATTATTCGTATGAAAAAGTACCCATATTAAGGTGTTATACGATGTCAGTTCATTAAACGGCTATTACACTAATAAGAAATTAACCCGGTTTCTCCCTCGATTCCACCGCTCATTAGCCGCCACCTCGATTTGGGGGAAACGGGTGGTATTGTAAGGCTTATTTATGGCGAGACTATTTCGTCTTTGTATCTGAATTGAATGGAAATATCCGTTAAGTGCTAAGAGGAAATAACCAGGTTAACAAGCTGATATTGTAAAACAAGTCAAACGTGTCAATCAAAATGTTTATGAGAAGGTACGAAAAAAAAGGAACTAGAAATTTGAACCTTTCAACTAAGTACAAGTGATTCCCAATAATATTACTCATATTTAGAGGATGCACTTAGTCTGTGATTATGAATAAGGTAAACCAAAAAAATCACATTTCTTAAAATCAATTTATAAAAATTTACGTAATCAATGATTACTCATGAGTAAATTCTCCAAAAATTAATAATAACTCTCAAACAAATCAAGTAGCAAAACATTTCAAAGAAAATCTCGTTTTTCTCAAATTTAATCTTTGCAGTTGAAACATATTTAAGTCAAAGTGGTTCCCAAAAATACAAAAATATTCACCAAAAGCTTAAAACTGAAAAAGTCATACAACATCAACATTTCTCCCAACAATTCAAATCATGATAAATAATTTCACATCAAACGTGCTGAACCCATTAAAAAAGAGTTCGCATTCGAATGCCTGCAAAGATAATTTCTTGATTTGCATATCGGATTCGGTGTTCATTTTAGGGCCTTTTAATTTCGCTTGTTTCTTCTGCACTGCTTTTTATTGACGAGAGCAAATTAAAGTAGGCGATGATGATCCATCAAATTTTATTGAGGGCAAACAGGGGCCGGCGAGTATGAAGGGAAGCTGGGGGAGGGGGGGCAATGGGGGATTAGGCGATCATGGAGCAGGGTGCTTTGACCGACCGAATGACACCCACGCTTAGCTTTCTTTTCTGTAGTTGGCTAAAAACTCCAAAGACTCCGCACACAAAAACTGTTTGCACACACAGTCCCGTAGATTTTTTAAAGTCATGTTCAAATGTCAGCGGCAGATAAAATTTGTATGTCTCCATGTTTTGGGAGCGTGCTGTCGTCGCTTTATCTGCTGCCAACATTTTGTCGAGCCCCAAAAAAAAGTGGGAGAAAATTCGAAAAACAGTTTTAGCTTTGCCAAACCAAAGCCTGTTGCTGGCTTTTGTTACTCCTCTTCAGCGACATCGATTGACTTTTGCTGCCTGTTGTTTGTTGCTTGCTGTTTGTTCGCCTCGCGATTGTCTGCTCCCTTTTTGGGTATTTTGGCAATCGTCCATTCATTCCGCCGAGCACTGAATGTATCTGCGGCATGAAGCCTCCGCTGTTTGCCATTTAAGCGGTCTTTGGCTCGACTTTATTTGTTTACAATTCGTTATGGCACATTGCCAGGCCAGGGCAGCCACAAAGAGTGAGTCGACATAACTCTCAAAACGGGACAAATTTTCAAATGCTTTTCGGGGAATTTTCCTGAGCAGCGGAATTAGCATATTGTGTAAAGTGATTGAATATGCACAGAGAAAATTTGTCACACCTCTTTACGACTAAGTGCATTTCATTTACTTATTTGCATGTATTTACGGAAATGATAACTTTTTAAAACAACATGTCCTAAAATAAAATAAAAAGTAATTAACTGAAAATTTTATTTTTTACTCTTAAAAGCATTCCGCCAAAAATAAAAAATGTAAACAATTTTTAAATGCTTTTCGGGTCATTTTTTTGAAAAGACAGCTTTGTCTAACATATAAATCAAATTATTAATTTTTTATTTCATATATTATTTTGATGGTGAAATTTATCACTACACAATTTTTTAGTATTGGCATAACTTAATCTTAAAAATCTTAGCAAACTTTTTCCTATTATATAGTTTTTCAGATTTGAAAGGCAGATGGACCACCTTGAGGGTACAAATTCATAATCAGTTTTTTTTTTTGTATATGGAACAGTATAGTAGTTGCATAGATATTCTCTACTTTAGTGATTACTCAATCCAAACAGCGAAGCTGATTATCGACAATCGCTGGGCCCCTGGGCGGCCCACAAAATGTTATCCTAGCGACGAGCGTGAGAAATGCCGGCGAAACATCAATTACGGCGCAACACTGTTAACAAATTCACTCATTTAGCAATGAAACTAAAAGTGTTGTTACTGTCTGCGGGCCAAAGAGCCGAACTCATGAAATGGCAACCCAGTTGACAGGCAGCTCCTGAACCACGTTGTCGTTGTTTGGAGTCGAGCTGCCCACCTTATATCTTTTTTTTTTTTTTGTGCATCCGCCTCGGGCCGCTGTGGTGGCTGCTGCCTTTTTTTTTTTTATCCAGCTCGTAACCAGCGATCAATCAAGGCACTCGGCCCGGCAAACTCTCATCTGGGGTCTTTGACAAACGCCGGAATGATGCGCTGCGCTGCGCAATTGCAGAATTTCACTCGAAGCCTAATTGTACGAGTAGGAGCAGTTCGAGTACGAGTACGAGTACCACGTAATTGGCAACGCCAAGGGTATTACATGCAGTTGCCGCAACTTTTTGCCAGGCGAAGTGCAACAAAATGTTGCAAATATTCAATCACGTAGTTCGTGCAACAATAGACCAAGCGGCCAAAAACCAAAAAATTTAAATAAATTATGTAAAACTGTTTTCAGTCAGCTTTCCACCAAACTTACTGAAAAATGGGAAGTTTTTAAGGTTTTGTGTTGCATTTCCGTTTCTGTTTCTGATGGAAAAATCCATTGTCAGTCGTGCCGGCCAATGCCATCTCAATAAATTATACTGTTCAGTTCTCTGGAAATAATAACAACAGAAAACAAATAAAAGGGCAATTACCCATCATGCAGATTATTCACGAGTTACGATTTTATTGTTTTTCGCTGCTGATTTCAAGATTTTTATCGATATCAACGGGTGGCCAGCAGCCGATTGTTGTTAACTTGTAAGCCATAGCTGCGGAATCCGCCAAGGGAAATCCGGAAAGCTGCAAGCGTTAGAAGAATCTCTGAGTAGTTATCCAGTTATCCAACAAAAGATTTCATTGCAAACACGTCAAACCGTTAACCTGACCAGCGTCACCAGAAGTGCATTAACGAAATATTGCCTACTAGCATTTAACAATTACGTGATGAAGCATGACAAGCTGGAAACACACCAGCAACTGCCAGCAAATTCTCACACAAAACACTCGCAATGTGCAGATGTCGCGTTGACAACTGCCTGCAGATGCAGAGGCAAAGTTAAAGGCAAAGAAAGCCAACGTGAAGTACGCAAAAGTAACAAGAAACAAGTGAGCAAAAACAATAGGAATCTATACACTTAATGCCGACATTTTTACTTCCCTAACTGATAGCTGAACGTAAGAAAATACCTTGGACTTAAACATGAAAAAATTAAAATTAAAAGCATGTGTTTCCACAACAGTTAACTCAGTGAAATTTATATTATTTCTTAATATAAAGGCTTGGCACTTTGAGTTAAAAACTTGTTGTCAATAATTACAATTATCAATGAACAAATCTAAAAAAAAATGTGCTGATAACTTATTTTTATTTATTTTTACTTAAGTAATATTTGTCTATATTAGCTAAAGACATTTTTACTCAATATGTAATGATGAAAAAATTTTAAACATGTTGATATTACATAAATTTCAAGGACCAAACATTAATTATTATTTTTAATATGTCATTTTATTTTCATTCAAATATGTATATATTAATTCGCTTTAAAAAGTATGTATGCGATATTTAGGGTATTCTTAGGGTATTCCAAGCCAGGGCATAGAAATAAAAGGCCAGAAAAGACCAAATTGGGCCTGCAGTCTGACGCCGTGTTGTTGCATTTCTGTGTGCCGCCACGCGCATGACGAATGAAAGTGAAAATAGGAAGTCGGGAGATGGCCAAAGAGCCATGAGACCAACAAGAGCAACAAGAGCTAAAAGAGCAACAACAACGGCCACTCAGACTTTGAGTCAGACATTGGCCAAGTTGGCCAGACATTGCGCGGCAGTTTCCTCCAGTTTCGCTGCGAATGCGATTGCAGTTGCAGGTTGCAGGTTGCAGCTCCAGTTGCTTTAGCTTTAGCTTGCCACACTCGTTGGTTTCTTGGCCAATTTCTAATGGCCAACGTCAATGGCCAGAGGATGGGGAGGGGGTGAGGGGGATGCCGGGGCAATGTTTGCTTTGCCGGCTCGTTATCCTCTGCAGGCCAGTGTTAATTTATGGCCCCACTCCTGGCCAGATTCACGCGTACGTTTCCAGCTTTATTTATGAACTTTTCCCAAACCCATTTCAACTGGATGTTTGCTTTCTGCGTTTACCAGGAGGTTTATTAAATTATTCATACAACATTTCAACTTGGTGCCGCTTGTCAATTTGACGAAAAACGTGAACCACTTTATGATTCGCATTTAATTTATTTGTGGCTCCTCTCTACCGTTATATTTTGATTTTGAGCCAATAAGTACAACCGCGAAATTAAAGCAAACCCGTTCCCATTCAAAGTTGGAGGTCCATTGGCCAAATTAACGACTCCAATTTGCCGCAATGTGTTGAGCATTAAACTTGTTATGGTTTTTGCCGTGGAAGTTGGAAATTGGTGAATTAAATTAACTCGAAACCAATGTAAAATTTTTTCAAAATTATTCAAATTGTTAATTGCTTTCAAGCCGTATTTTAATGAAGTAACTGCTAATTGCATTCTTTTAAATCACAGAGTGAGTTTTCACTTTTGTTGTATTTAGCTTATCTTATGAACTAGACTATCTGATTAAATACTTTATATAGAATAGGAAGTAACCTTTAAGTTAACGAATTCTCTGGCAAAGATCAGATCGAATCCCACCCCATCCAAAGGTGGACCTTACACAATTCACCCAAAATCACATGGCTTTATCTGGCGCCTTTGTAGTGGCACGCATAAATTGCATTACTTTATGATTATTATTCTAATTAATGCACGGCTCCCACATTAATAAGCACCCGAAAAAACCATGCCTTAACATAGACTGGCAGAAGCAGCAGGGAGATAACCATATAACAAGGCCCAAAAACAAGCCTCTATCTGCGGTATTGTTATTGTTCACACTGACTGACTGCCTGATTGACTGACTGACTGACTGACTGACTGGTTGAATGACAGCTCAAAGAAACCTTCAAACGCAACGCAGCAATGAAGACAATGCCAAGCAATATCAATGAAGTTATCGTACGAATACAACACAAACCACAAGAAGACAACTGCAGTTCGAGTCGGCTTAAATCGACACTCGGTTCGCTTCGGTGAACAAGATATTATGCACCATGCTTCTCATCCGATAAAGGTGTTGATACACCACGAGCTGTAATTATGACAACTCCATAGACAATCTTGTCCGATAAGATACGCAGGAAGCTCGAATAATCAGATGATCACAGGAAAAAATGTCGTTAGTTAATAACATAATTTTTAACTCATTCTCACCATCAAACAGAAAATAAGCTAATATAAAATAATGACACTGGGTTTAGGTCTTTTTTGGTATATCAGATAACCCCAAGAAGAGAAATAATTTACTGCCGTAGTTTTGTGTAGGAAAAAGCTGTGAGCATAAAAATAAATTCAGGGAACTTAGAGACTCAGTCATAAATGTTTCAATATATAGTTGAAATGAATGGATTGAGTTTGAAGTTGTTTACTATTGAAATTTTTAAACTAAATTTATTAAATTTATATTCTAATCATTTATTATTTATTTATGTTTTAATCAAATAAAAAAACTCAAAAACTTTCAGTATCCCTAGGACTTCCCACAAATTACCATGAATCGCCACGCAGAAGTGGACCAAACTTCGTTTGCAACGCAAAACTTGTCCCGAACAACTTTTAATTTTCTGATTGCTGCACGACTTTTGCACGCGTTTTTCTTGGCGTTTGAAGTTCGCCTGCTCTAACTGTTGTTACCTGGCTTTTACGAGCCTGCTGGAAAACTGGCTGCGAGGTCAACTGCCTCTCTTTCGATTTTCCTCGCTCGCGTGAGCTGCGTATGTTCTCCGAGTTTGTTTTGGCTGCTTTAATGCCTTTGCCTTTGCCTTTGCCATTGCCTTTGCCGAGCTCCGCTTCACTTTCGTGGCATCCTTCAACTTTAAAAGCGAAAGACACCGAAATGCAATTGAAACGAATGAAAAATCGTGTTCCAAATGTCAAAGTGAGCCCCAGTGTGGCACCCAAAAACAGACGAACTGTAGCAATTGCATGATCTTCTCGATCTCCGCTTAGGTGATTCTCTTGTTTCACTTTCGGTTTCGGTTTCGGTTTGGTTTGGTTTGGCCGTAGTTTCTGTTTCTGTTTCAATTACAATGCTTTTTGCTTTGTTTTTCGGTTTGCTGCTTTTGGATACAAATTGCGATTTTATTGCTTCAAGCTGTTCGAGTTAATTGAGGTCAGCGTTTTCGGCATCTTCCAAAAAATGCACTGGTTTCGGGGATCGGTTAGATTTTATTTCGGGCGCTAATTGTCCGCCCAAAAAAGGTGTGTGAAGAGCAGTGTTGTGGCAAACAGCTAAGGCTTTTCCCCCACTTAAAAGGAGCTTAGAACGGATCACGTTTCCCTGCCTTCGGAGTCACTTTGGAGTCAATCTGTTCAACCCCGGCGGTCATTAATCGGCCATCGAGCATCGAGCATCGACCACCGACCAGACGAACAAATGACATAATTGTAAGGCGCATTACTCAACAGTCATCGGCTACTGTAATTCCTTCCAGCCTCATTGCTTCTGTTTTAGGCACAGACCAAGCGGCCATTTCGAAATTTCAAATAGGAAAGAAAAGATAGGTAAAGCAGACATTTTTGGCCGCTTGGGGCTAAGGCCATGTGAAACTATGCAGCAGAAGCGCAGATCAGCAGCTCACTAAACAAAAGCCAAGCCAAGATGATGAGCTATGACTTCTGTCCGACTGTCCGTCTGTCCGTCTGTCCGTTTGGCCTTTCGGTAATTGCCAATGCTGGCGGCAGTTGCCGTTTGTTTGCCAAATGGCCAAGAAATAAAAAGCATCTTTTGATTTCAATTTCATTTGGGTCTTGTTTTTATGCCGCTTTTCGGTGTGCATTGAGACAGACGACGACGCCCATTGTCTCGGTGGGTACACTTATTAATTACAGTACTGTTGCTTGATACATTTCAGTCTTTGTCTCAATGGGCAAGGTTAAACAGAAGTTCATGTTGTGGTTTTCAAAACTTTATGACTTGCCCTATGGCTTTGCGATTAGCCAACTGGATATTAAAAAAAAATAAATGAGCAAATAGATAATTAAAACCATTATTTACAGATTCCAAAAATGATTTTCTGATAATGTTATTGATAATATTCATATATTTTTGGTGTATATACTTTGTGGTCAGGCTTAAATTTTTTTATCAATTATAAAAATTTGTTCACTAAAACAAAACATAATATCAACAACAATTTAACGAAACATATTAAGGACTTTGAAAAAGAACATAATGCATACTGACATGTGTGAAAAATAGGTTATGTATAAGTCCGTTTCTAAGTCTTTTCATTTTTTTTTATTGATTCTATTGTTTATTGATTAAATGCAAAAATTAGAAAAACATTTTAAGGACTTTAAAAAAGACTTGTGACTTTTGTGAAAAATATGTTTTGTGCAAGTTCGTGCTCTAAGTCTTTTGAATTTTTTGAATGGTACTGGTGTTATTATTGTTTTTTATTGTGTTTTTTCTTCCACAATTTGTTTATATGGGAAATTCAAAAGCGTTTCAGCTCTTGTTTTTTATGTCTTCGCTTTTTATTTTTTTACTAAACGATAGACCTTCATCCAAATTTGTAAATAAAATGTAATAAAATGATAAATATTTATATCTACAAAGTTTTTACCAACCTATAATTATAAAAAGTGTGGTCTTCTATTACACTGACAATAATGACTGACTCTAACATTCAACTTCTTCTCCCTCATTTCAGTCTACCAACATGTCCGCCAGCCCCTCATCCTGCGATTGCTTGGTGGGCGTGCCCACCGGACCCACCCTCGCCTCCACCTGCGGCGGCAGTGCCTTCATGCTGTTCATGGGCCTACTGGAGGTGTTCATCCGGTCGCAGTGCGATCTGGAGGATCCCTGCGGTCGGGCCAGCTCTCGGGTATTAAGTTGCACTCAAGTGTACATTAATCTCTCTAGACCAAATACTATTTCGTTTTGACTTCACAGTTTCGATCGGAGCCGGACTACGAGTACGATTTCATTGTCATTGGCGGCGGCTCAGCGGGCTCCGTGGTTGCCTCTCGACTCTCCGAGGTGCCGCAATGGAAGGTGCTGCTGATCGAAGCCGGTAAGGAAGTTGCCCCAGCAAACACACACATGCACATACTTCCAGCTTTGACTCAGACCCACGCTGCTCACGGCAATTAGAGGCCCGTTATGTGGCATTTGTTTAGAAGTAATTGAAGCTTAACAGCGCCAGCCACTGCAACAATGGCAGCAACACTAAAATGCCACTTGGGCAAGACTGCGGCAAAGAAGCAACCGCAACCGCCAGGAGCATTATGTAAACTAAACGAGCTGCCACCTCGGCCGAAGGCAGTTTTAGCCATGCAAATATATCTCTCCTCGAGCTGTTAGCCAGCTTACAAAGCTTCAAAAGGTTTATTTTTTTGCGTTTCGTTTCACTTGACTTGGTTTTTTGCCGTCGATAATTGCTGTTCCTCACAGCCTTTTTTATGAATGAATAGCGAGTGTGTTTGGTTCTGCTTCTCCGATATTCCGATATTCAATGCAGTGCATTCACTTTGCCTTAATTAAGCTCGCATATAAGGCAAGTTCAGCTTAAGAGGCTTTTTAGCACTGCATAATTTTAATTTTATCGTATGTACGTTGTTTGTTGTTTACAGCCACAGTACCCCGACAATATTTTGCCAAATATCAATTAGATCAGCAAAGTTCAAATATTTAATATATTTAAAATACAATTCAAGTACATAATATATATCACACAAAATAACTGGCACAATGCGAGTTGGTCAGTAAATATGACCTGATATGAACTGGTTTAATATTTCTTGATTTACGACTTTAGACTTTTTTATCTTGAGACAAATAAAAATATATATTCTATGTTAAAATTATGTTTTCCTTCAACCAAACATTAACTATTGCCTGAAACCAAGCTCTTTAATATCAACCATTTAGTAAGATGTTAGGCACTAATTCGAATTTCCCAGAGCTTAAAATCATCATTAATCATCGTGCCATCACTAATGTCTTAATAAAACAGCCAAGTGCTTGGAAAATCACTTTAGTTGCTTTCAGGCCTGGGAAAGCATTCTAATAGATCCATTTAAACTGCCCCATCAGAATTCTCGGCTCTGCTTGGCTTACTTTGTGGGTCGCCCTTAGGCTTCCAATCTTTGCGCAAAGTAATTGTTTTTTAGCGACAATTTTTACGCTTCGTCACTAATTACACTAATTACGAGCCAAAAAACCGCGAAAGAGAAACACACAGTCGAATTTGTCAATGCGTTGGCGTTAATTATACAACAATGCCTGAGGCTGAAGTGCAATTAGCTGTGGCCATTACCATTACCTTATTATACGGCCATATCAGTATGAGCAGATAACTCCCGGCCAAAGTGGCTTTTGTTTTTGTTTCGACTAAGCCGCAACCGCAGAAGCTTAACTCGGACCTGCTTGACATTAGACATGCAGCTCGTCAAATTTAGTCAATGCCAAAAGCATGCCGGAAAAAGACTAAAAGGTTTCTTTGATTGAAGAACTCAGCCCGGTACCTGGCACACTGACCCCTGGAATGACCTCGCCTCCGGTTAATGGCTCAACTCCTCGTCCAGCACGTGTTACCTGATTACCTGGATACTTTCAACTATATTCTAATTTTGAGCAATTTACTTGTCGCCAAGTGTGACAACATGCATACTATGAATATTTTTAGCAATATTTAAGAATGCTGTTTTTTATTTGTTTTAACTTTCATTCCAAGCTAATTAGAATGCGTATTGCCCGGCGTTAATTGTGTGCTCTTATCCCGTGGCGTAAACACCCAGAAACGCATTTGTTTTTTTTGCGCGACACAGACATATGTTAAGAGTGGCCGCAGAACAAGTTATTAGCAATTTGGGGAGCATATATAACGCTGGTACTCAATGAATCAGAGTCAGTATTTGCATTTCTTTCTTAATTTTGGCTATTTTGTTCTTTTTCCTTTGTTGAAATTTCAGTTAAGTTATTACTTCAGGATTTTTGCGGTAACATTTTTCGGCTCCCACGCTATGGCCAGCAATCAAAGATTCCACTTGAATCGATTTAATTAACTAGAGTCGTGGGCTCAGCGCAACGGAAATTCTAGAACGCTGATTGAGCCAATATACTAATTATAATGGATTGCCATGGGTTCACCAAAAGCGTGCCTCGAATGTCCCAAACTCAAATGGGGTTGCCCACCCAAGTGCTGAAGGTTAGACCAGAGTTTGCTTGTACTGCCTCTTAATGGGCAGTTAGGGTCTATTAATCAAGACTCACGACCAGTTATTGAATGTTTCTTGGTGTTCGTGCATGTGCATATCTATTTCCTAACCCGGTAGGAATTTAGCAGTTAAATTTAACAAATTTGGCAACTTCCTACAGGTAAAATAAAAATATTTAAATTTATACTGCAATACTGAAAGATAATTTTTTAATTAATAATTCAAAATCTACCTTGCAACATTACTTTGAAACCGGTATTGGATATTTGCAGAAATTGATAAAAGTATAGTTTTATTTGACATCATAATATTTTTTATTATTATTTCTTTTTTATACATCTTAGCACTACAATTAAAACTGTTAATTTTGTGTGCTATTCATGTTGTGTTAAGACATGATTACAATATTCTTATTTTAAATTACAGTTTGCTTTGAATATTAATATTTAACATTAATGTAATGTTAACATTAATTAGGTAGATTTGGTAATAAGCTGTTCGGTTAGGCTAGATTTTATTGATTTTATGAAGTGTTTATTCCAGATTAACAAAAAAGATATTCGCAACTTGGTCCGGCTTAAAATTAGATTATTAGTTTATTGATATGCACTAAAGTTTAACAAAGAAAATAGGTAAGTTGGTTTCCTTGTGCGGATAATTTTGTGAAGCGTTGTCAAAACTATTGGATCGATTACAGATTTAAGATCCAAACTATACATTTTTTTGCGTATTCAGAAGATGGAGTCAGAGTCATTTTCTAAAATTGGAAGCATCACAGGTTCCAAAAACTTCTATGCCATGCAGTACAGATGGAGTCAGATGAGTCTTGGCAACTAATAACCTGATTTCGAGTGAAAGAGATTATTAATGGTTGTCCAATTCTTCAGTAACGTACTTTAAAAAAATATTTTAAATGCTTAAGCCTGTCGACATATTATGACTTGCTCAGCAATAAAATCAGGCCAATTTTTTAGGCAGCTTGCAACTTTGTTCACCCCAAAACGTATACTTTTTGTCAGAATTTATTTTGAGGAAAGTATTGAAGATAGAATCTCCAAATTAAGCACAGTTTATAAAGCAAAATTAACTTGACATATGCAAATTTTGAAAAAATTTCGGTTTCCCTAATTTTTCCTCCACATATTGTTATGTTCCATAACAAATGTTCAATATTTTTGAAAATTCTTAGTTTACATAATTTATCTTCCGTTAGTGGGAAAAACGTAGTTTTACCGACCTATGTAACGGTCTATAACTTTTTCATTTTTCGATATTTCAACATGAAACTTTAGGGACGAATATATGTATGAAAAAATAAAAAATCAATAAAAAAATTAGATTTGTTTGACCCAACAAAGTAGCAACCTGCCTTAAGGTGCCCAATGCGTTTTTCGAATTTATTTTCTTTGTAATATAGAAATTATTAAATTTACTATTATCTAAAAACATGTAACATTTAAAACATGTTACTAATTTAATTAAAGAAAGAAAAACTATAAAAAGTTCAATAGACAATAGATTGATGGAAGGAAAAGTTTGATAACAAACACAACCACGTTGCTAACAATCTTACCTGACTTTTGCAGGTGGCGACGAGCCTGTGGGCGCCCAGATTCCCTCGATGTTCCTCAACTTCATCGGCAGCGACATCGACTACCGCTACAACACGGAGCCGGAGCGGATGGCCTGCCTGTCCTCGATGGAGCAGCGCTGCTACTGGCCACGCGGCAAGGTGCTCGGCGGCACCTCGGTGATGAACGGCATGATGTACATCCGTGGTAACCGCGAGGACTACGACGAGTGGGCGGCCCAGGGCAATCCGGGCTGGGCCTACAACGACGTGCTGCCGTTCTTCAAGAAGTCGGAGGACAACCTGGAGCTGGACGACGTGGGCACCGAGTTCCATGCCAAGGGCGGCCCGATGCCCGTCGGCAAGTTCCCGTACAACCCGCCGCTGTCCTATGCCATCCTGAAGGCCGGCGAGGAGCTGGGCTTCTCCGTGCAGGACCTCAATGGCCAGAACTCCACCGGCTTCATGATTGCCCAGATGACGGCCCGCAATGGCATCCGGTACAGCTCGGCCAGGGCCTTCCTGCGCCCGGCCCGCATGCGCAACAACCTGCACATCCTGTTGAACACCACGGCCACCAAGATCCTCATCCATCCGCACACCAAGAACGTGTTGGGAGTGGAGGTCAGCGACCAGTTCGGCAGCATGCGCAAGATCCTCGTGAAAAAGGAGGTGGTCCTCAGTGCCGGAGCCGTCAACTCGCCCCAGATCCTGCTGCTGAGCGGCGTGGGACCCAAGGACGAGCTGCAGCAGGTGAACGTGCGGACGGTGCATCACCTGCCGGGCGTGGGCAAGAATCTGCACAACCATGTGGCCTACTTCACCAACTTCTTCATCGACGACGCGGACACGGCGCCGCTCAACTGGGCCACGGCCATGGAGTACCTGCTCTTCCGGGACGGCCTCATGTCCGGCACCGGCATCTCGGACGTCACCGGCAAGCTGGCCACCCGCTGGGCCGACCGGCCGGACCAGCCCGACCTGCAGCTCTACTTCGGCGGCTACCTGGCCAGCTGCGCCCGCACGGGCCAGGTGGGTGAGCTGCTCTCGAACAACTCCCGGGCCATCCAGATCTTTCCGGCGGTGCTGAACCCACGGTCGCGTGGTTTCATCGGTTTGCGCTCCGCCGATCCACTTGAACCGCCGCGCATCGTGGCCAACTATCTGACCGAGGAGCGCGATGTGAAGACCCTGGTGGAGGGCATCAAGTTCGCCATCCGGCTGGCGCAGACCTCGCCGCTGAAGCAGTACGGCATGCGGCTGGACAAGACGGTGGTCAAGGGTTGCGAGGCGCCCGTATTCGGCAGCGACGCCTACTGGGAGTGCGCCGTGCGGCAGAACACGGGTCCGGAGAACCACCAGGCGGGCTCCTGCAAGATGGGCCCCAGCCAGGACCCCTGGCCGTGGTCAACCACGAGCTGCGGGTGCACGGCATCCGTGGCCTGCGCGTCATGGACACCAGCATCATGCCCAAGGTCACCGCCGGCAACACCCATGCCCCGGCCGTGATGATCGCCGAGAAGGGCGCCTACCTGCTGAAGCGGGCCTGGGGCGCCAAGGTCTGACGCGTGGATGCGACGTGGACGTTGCATAGAGTAATTTGAGCCCCAGAGCCCCAGCGAAATTACTGCGACTAAAATTTAAGCGAAATTATACTTAAGGCCCCCCGCTCCACAAATCCAAATTCAAACTTTTCTATTGCTAATCTAATCTAATCTAATATGATCCGGTCCAATCCAATCCGAAGGCTTCTCACTCTAGGCACACCGCGTTGCGCAATCTCCACTAATGTTCTGCATAAGCTAACAGTTACAAGTAACTACTCTGACCCACTGAATATGCATAAAGTCGAACTTCTTTAACTGCACATTAAACTACAATTCACAACTAAAACTCGATAAAATTTACAAAATGAATTATAGCTTGATTTGATAATTATTCGATTTTCATTGTTGTTCAATTACTTCAAAAATTAACCTATATAAAGCTTTAATTGAGTTACAAAACTTTTAACACACTTTGAGTTGGATAAGTTTGACCACATAGATTTTGTTTAATGTTCGCTTTGTAATGAACGTTAAGTTAACCAATTAAACGCTACACTTAACCAACGTAGTTGATGTGAACCCATTGAACAGGTAAATTTAGCGTGTCGTTCGTGGGTCATTTAAACAACCCAATACCTAAACTATGTTATTCTTGTAACCCATTGACAATGTAAACTTCGTTTATCGTTCACTTTGGTGTCCTATATTTCTGTATACGCGTATATGGCATGTATTTATTGTTCGATTAAAGTGCAACAATTTAGTTTAAGTGCCAAAACGATCTCGTGAATTTGACAGCGTTTAGCACACAATAACCGATCATGGGTATATATAGTGGCCCAAAGAGCCACTCAATCACTCACTCAGTCGGTGTTGCGCAATGTTTTGGTCTTTATTTCTCATCGCCCTTGTGTCTGCGGCTTGGGTGGCTGCACAGGATGTGGTGCCCGATGATCCGGAAGTGCAGATGCAAATGCATGCCATGTTTTACACGGCTCGTGTTGCCTGTGCGGTGGAAAACATGATTCCGTATGGTAAGTGGACGGTGGGTGCCAGTTTTGGCAAATGTACTCATTTTTTGTATCTATGTAAGGTACAAGGTATTTGTGAAAAAAAGTACTTAGGTAAGGTAACAGGTACACAGTTTATTATGTATCTAGGTAAGGTAAAATGTACAAGAAAGGTAAAAAAACCTTTTTAATACTATTTTTTTAAGTTAATCGTTTTATTCTTCATGAAGTTGCAAAGGAATTGTGATTTTGTGAATATGTTGTAGCAGAAATTATACATTTTTTATTTACATATTGGGGGAAAAGAATACGAAATTAAATTTAGCAATTTCAAGCTAATTAAAAAAAATTGAATATAAACTTTTCAAATACATAATATACCAAATTTTAAGATAAATAAAACTCTTTACCAAGCTAAGGTAAAAGTATCATATTTGTTTACCTAAGTAAAGTATAAGGTATCAAAAAAGTGTACCTAGCTACATACCTAGGTACACGTTTCTAGGTACATCCCAACACTGGTATCCCGTACGCAGTTTACTGTTAAAATGATCTCTAATTGAGCAATCACTGAAAATATTAGTTTCTTTTGTGTGAAGTTTATTTTTTAAGCCCAATCAGTTGGTACTAAAATTTCACAAATAGTGCATTAAACGAATCTAACTGGACATGGCATGATCAAAGCTATTTGCCAAACGCATTGCCAAAGTATTACTATAAAAGGGGAGCAGCTAAAGCCCAAAAGGCATTCCGCTATTTCGAAATGTGGTCCGCGTTAGCTCAAACCTGTGCCGTCTTTGCTTTCCTGAGCTTGAGTCTGCATTGTGGCAGCGCTCTTCAGGATCATGCCAAGGATAATGGCGATATCTTCATTATTAACTATGATAGCTTCGATGGCGACGTGGATGATGTATCCACCACCACACCAGCTCCTAGAGAAGCCGACTATATAGATTTCGATGAGGTTAACAGGATCTGCAATGCAAGTTTCATAACGTCGAGCAGTGAGTGTGCAAGGGAGTATACTACCACTAACCATACAATATATACATATATATATATATATGTTGTATGGTTAGTGATACTACGAAGAAACATAACCGTCGTTAGTTAGCTGGTGACATATCTTATCTGCCATTTCTTTCAGGCAACGTGTTGCAGTTCAACAGCACTGGTGAACTGCCCGATGACAAGGATAAGGCAACCAGCATGGTAGGTGTGGCTGGCAGATCTCTTACCTCACGATTCTTACGAATTCCTTGCAGTGTTATTTCAACTGCTTTTTCGAAAAGTCCGGTCTGATGACGGACTACAAGCTTAATACGGATCTGGTGCGCAAATATGTTTGGCCAGCCACCGGCGATTCCATTGAGGCTTGCGAGGCCGAAGGCAGTGAGTATGCTGGACAAGTCGTGTCGGAATGCAAACGACATTAATGTGTTATCCCCAGAGGACGAGACGAATGCCTGCGTGCGCGGCTATGCCATCGTCAAGTGCGTCTTCATCAGAGCGCTCACGGATGCCAGGAACAAGCCCACCGTTTGAGTATCAGCAAAGGAGGCCCAGCTTGGACTATTCAGTAGGAAACTATAATCTTAGCGGTACAAGTCAAAATATAGCTACGGCCGATGCACCTAGTTGAGAATAAACCACAGGCACATGCAACTCCTCCGTTCTTTTCCTGCGCCCGCTATCACGTGTCCTCGCTGCCATCGTACGCCGCACTTCTGGTTGCATTGAGCAGGCGGCTCAGCCGCTTGCCAATGGGCTTGGGGTACTGGTTGTTCTTGAGCAGGAATTCCTTGGACTGGTGCTCAACGGCCCCGTTGTCTAGCTGGAACTTGCAGAGCGTGTGCAGCGGGCGGACGAGTGTTTGCCGCAGCTCCGGCCGTGATTCGAGCACGGCCAGGCACTGGGCTGCGGTCTCCAGGGTGCTGAGGCAGCCCTCCGTGGGCTGGGTGCGGATGATGTAGTCACTGATGCCCACGGCGATGAGTTTCACCTGGCGGAGGCGGTGCAAAGCGGGACTGCTGGCGTAGATTGCCTTGGCCTGCGGCCAGGTGCCGTCGATGAGCACAAGAGTGTAGGGTCCGGTGCTGCGGTCCACCTCCTCCAGCGGCACCGAGTCCCGGCTGGGATACAAGAGCAACGTCTGCGGGGAGCCCAGAATCCTCTGCAATTCAGCGTGATTTTTGTGGTTGGGGAAACGCTTGCCCTTGAACACGACACATTTTCCCGGCTCCAGGCCCAACTGGAGCATCAGAGCCGTGCGCAGGGATCTCTTCTCCTCGGCGGGATGCTGCAGGATCACTATCTGAGAGGCCACCGCCTCCGGCGGATGGGGCAAAGCCGGACACCAGCAAACAACTGCGGGCCGCCTGCAAAGGATTTGATTGTAAGACTTGTAATTTGAGAGCGGTATTCCCTGTTTTACCACTCACTTGCACTGCTCGCACTTGTCGCGTCTGTTGGGCGGATCGGCGCTGATGCCCACGAGATCCTGCCAAGCTTCGTCCTCCATTCTTGTAATTGATTATTAGTTTAATAAATGCAAAGTTCTGCGCAAGGAGAAATCGCAATCAACGAACCATGTGCGACTGGGTGGCAACGCTGGCCGCCACATGGCAATCATAACCACCCTGTTCTTGGATCAGCTGTTGAGCGCGCAGGGAAATCTGTGTTTATGCGATAGCTTGTTCGAGTTCATTTAGTTTTTAGTTCTCGATGGCAACTGTAAAGTATATGATAGTTAATTAAATTTAAGAGGAATTAAAAGAATACAAGAACAAGACATTACTAGCTAAAACTCAGTAAGCAAAATCATGAAATCTACCAAGAAATACATAATAACCGAACTTCGTAATCTCTCCCCCGCATAACCATTGCACTTCAGCTTTCTGTTTTCTATTTAGGTTTTGTACATGAATTAAACTAGTTGTTAGGCTTAAAGTTGTAAAGTCCGTAGTGTAATTAAGACAAAATGCAGAGCATAGGCTGGACGCTGATCATGAAGCGAGGCTGCTTCTGCCGGAAGGAGACCCTGAACATCAACGGATCCCGCTACACAATCCGCGACAGGCTGGCGACAGGGTACGAGAGAACCACTATCTCCTCCTAAATATCTAATCTCTGGGTATCTCTACAGGGGCTTCAGTCTCATCGACCTTGGGGAAAACGCCTCCACGCGACGGAGCTATGCGATAAAGCGCATCACCTGCCACAGCATCGATGACCAGAACATCGCGCTGCGGGAAATCGAAAACTGCCGAAAAATCGACTCGGAGAACGTCATCCGGGTGGTGGACTATGAGCTGAAGGGCCAGGCGGACATCGTCATCAACACAACGAGCACCTTGTACATCGTGCTGCCCTACTACAAGCACGGCTCTCTGGCGGACCACCTGCAGCTGCGCTCGCGGAAACAGGACCACATGCCCGAGGCCCAGATCCTGCAGATCTTCCTGGGCGTCTGCGAGGGTTTGAAGGCCATCCACGAGGCCAAGCCAGTGCCGCTGGCCCACCGCGATCTGAAAACGGCGAACATCTGTCTGTCGGACTCGTTCGAGCCCATTATTGTGGATCTCGGCTCCATGACGGAGGCTCGACTGCAGATTGTCGGCCAGACGGATGCCCAGCGGCTGCAGGACGAGGCAGAGGAAAGGAGCTCCATAGTCTACCGGGCTCCGGAGCTATTCACCGTAAAAACCTACTGCACTATCGACGAGAGGACGGACATATGGGTATTTATGTAAATTCGACTAAAACAACTTCAATCTTCATATGTGTTTATTTATTCCCATTTCAGAGTCTTGGTTGTGTGCTATATGCAATGTGCTACTTTAATTCACCCTACGATCCCATCTACGAGCGAGGCGACAGCGTGGCTTTAGCTGTGCTTAGCGGTAACGTCAACATTCCAGAGGATTCCATCTACACAGAGGCAAGACAATATCTCACAACCCTAAAGTATTGGCTAAATAAGCATTCTTTCCCAGGACATGCACGATTTAATTAACTACATGCTCCGCACCGATCCAATGGAACGGCCGTTCATCTTCAGTGTCATCGAACGCACCCACGATCTGATACAGAAGCTGGAGGGTCGCTTGTAGCTCCCACTCACCGAATTCCAACTCGTCTATACGCATTTTTCCGAACCAGATACACCGCTAACTGTTTTTGACTATGTATTATTGTAAAATAATTTTAAACCTTCAGAGATTTTGTGAAATTATGTGTAATTAACCTAGAATTGTTTTTTTTTTTTTTGCTGGGACTAGTGATCATCTCGTGTGAGTCCTGGACAATTGGTGCTTAGATCTTCGGCGTCTTCGTAGTGTGTTCCACACCAGTAGCAGAAGCAGTAGGCGGTGCGCATGTAGCCAGTGAGGAGTTCTAGCTGCTCCGATGGAGTGAATGGTTCTTCCTTGGCTGGCTCCTCCTCCACTTCCGGCTCGCCTTCGCTTTTTGTTTCTTCTTCGTCTTTTGGTTTAGGTGGCCAAAAGAACTCCAGGTCTGGTTCTGTAATACCGGATTTAAGATCCAAGGATTCGCAGGTTTGCTGACAACGCTTTATGTCGAACTGGAGTTTGCGTTCCTCCGCTTTGTGGGTCGCTCTTCGTCTGTAAGCTTCAGTGCTGATTTCCTCGCGGGACTCAATCCCGGCCTTGCTGAGGAGATGGGCTCTGCGTAGTTCCTGCCGCCTAAGGTTCAACTCGGTCACGGCTGCCTCGCGGCCTAGGCCTCCACGACCGCTCTTAATGGTGATCCCTACGGGTTCCGTACGGGCATCCGGCTGTTTACCCAATCCAGATCCCGCTTTATAGCCCATTTTAGCCAGCAGCTGGAAGCCCTTGTTATCGGCGGTTAGTGGTCTGTTGAGTGACTCCTGGAGCCGAGCATTGTCCACGTTTCCGCAGGCAGCGGTTGCCTCTCGTTGCCTCTTCTTCAGGTCCTCCTTTTTGGTCTCGATTTCGACTTGGCGCTTCTTGCCGCGATTGTGCACCAAACTGGGACGCACGTCCTGCAAGCTAATTGGAAAACGAAAGGGGTTTCTTCACATGGTGATGATTCTGTTAGTTCCAATCTTACCCAGCCAGGAATTTGTCGGACATATAATCATCCTCGTCGGACATTTGTTTATTTACACTGCGATGTGCAGTGTGACCACAGAAGTTGCGACTAAAACGGCAGCTTTGAATTCAAAAATACCAAAAATGCCTTAAGTTACCGTTATAAAATATACCATCCTTAAAAATAATCTTATAATTCAGCGGCGAAAGGGTGAATGGGGTCTGGAGGCCTTAAAAGTTATGGATTACATCTTCTATTTTGGGTCAGCGAAGTTAAAATTGGCTATTATGGTTATTCGCCAGAGGTAAAAGTTTATTATTTCTAGTGGGAGCGAAGGTTTGGGAATTCACCAGAACTTTGTTTGGTTGATTAGAGATTCGGTAACTTGGCCCGATTTCTATAACCGTTTGATACATTCACAGGGTTTCCAATTTCCCAGACCTGTTCCAGTTTTCGTTTTCAAAAGATTAACAAGCAATCAAAATTCCTTCTGTTAATTCTTTGATAATTTCCAAAAACAAACTCACGGAAACTTTTCCCAAGAATTTGGCTGATGAATTAGACCCGTAATCACAGAAATGAATTGTTTTTAAATATTATAATATCATTATGATAAAATATTTTTACCTTATTATTAGAAATCTTAAGAACATTATTGCGTCAGAATCGTTTTAATGCTAGCCTTTATTATTTTTCAATTCTGCCGTCTTTGTTCTAGTTTCCGAACGAATTTAAGTGGAGGAAGAAAGGGCTGTCATGATACGAAAAACATCATTTGTTTTCTTGGGACTACTTTTGAGCCTTTTGATCCTTTAAATATGGTATGGAAGATATTTTATTTCCAAAAATTTCCAGGTTATTCCTTGAACTTGAAATTTACTTTCCTAGCCGCACGTTTCCAGCCGATGTTTAGCCGATTTTATTTCGGTGCATTTTTACAGTCTTGGCGACAATGAATTTGAACTGACAAGGAATTTAATCAAATTTTAACCATAATTGATAAATTATAAGCCAATAAACAAACAAAATAATTAAACAGCAGTACATTTTTCAAAGTTCAAATTTTATTATAAAGCTGGTGGCAGACGGAAACCGAGTTATTCAATGATAGTGTCATAGTTCTATGTAACAGATGTTGATAGTTGTTTTAGCGAGGGTTATAGCCATCCAAATAAAATAAAAGCGAGTTAGCCATAATATATCAAATAAACCTAAAAGATGTAGTTCTACACATATCTTAAAAATTAACTAACTCCGCTCTAGTGTAAACGTTTCTTAATAGTCAATACATGAACCATTTATCAGTATTTATGTAAGACCGCAGATAGCGAAAATATACCTGAAAAATACCACAATAACAAAAAGAGTTGCCACCTCCGAACCAGCTGTTGCTCGCCGCTGGAAAGTTGGCAGTTCTCTTAGCTTCCCATGTGCTCGGCAAATTAAGAAGTCAACACTTAAGAATTTTGAATAAACAACTATTAAAATAGGCAGGATGGGAGCGGTGAGTAGCTCTAATTACTATACATTACAAATACGAACCAAATTGTCTTTAGAAAAAGGTGAAAATCAGCTCGGTGAAGCGGGCCGCTCACCTAAAATCGAAGAAAACACCGCTGTCGAAGCAGCAACAACAAAAGCAGAAGCAAAAGCGCGACCAACTTACTTCCAAGCGAGAACAGGGCCAGAATATATTCTCGCAGAAGGCGAGAAAACGCGACAACTTGGCGCAACGCAAGAAGCACAACAAACTGGCCTCCCTGGGACTCGATCCGCTGGACGAAGACGACGAGGATGGCGACGACCAGATGCTGGACAACATTGCAGACATGCTGGACGGCGATGATCTCGCCCTGCTGCAGGCCAACAAACGGAAGCGAAAGGCCAAAACCGCTGGCCAGGATGAACCTGACCAGGGGCAATCAATCGGCTTGGAACGCGCCTACGCCTCGGACACCAAAAAAGAACAGGCAGCGCAGAAAATCAAGCTGGATCTGCTGCCCATCAAGTCCAGAGATGGTCAGATAATCACACGCACGACTGAGGTGGATTACCTGCCGAAGCCCAAGCAGAAAAAGCAGAATGAGGCGGAGCAGGAAGAAGAGTCCGCGGCAGAGGAGGATAGTGATTTAGATGGGGAAACGGAGTACGAGGACAGCGACGATGATGTGGTCAACGATGTCGAAGCGGCGTCTGCCGTACCCGTCCAAAAGCTTATCTCGACGACGGATCTGCTGATTGCTCGCCAGCAGGAGATCGAACGGCAGAAGTACCGTATTGGAATCATTTGCTCCGGTTTGCTCGAGAAACCAGAGGACAAGATGCGCAATTTCCATGCCCTCTACGAGCTCATGGACGAGATCAACCCGGCCAGCAAGCAGGCGAACCTTATGTCCGTGAGAAAACTGGCCATAATATCTGTCACCGAGATCTTCAAGGACATTCTGCCCGAGTATCGAGTGGGTCAGGTGGACACCAAGATGCAAACGTTGCGCAAGGCCACCCTTGACCGTGTGACCTTTGAGAACGCCCTGCTTCAGCAGTTCAAGAAGTTCCTGCAGAAACTGGAGCAGATTACGGCGCAAGTGAACAGGAGAGGCGGCCTGCGAACGCCCCAGACCGTAAAGTTGGCCACCGTGGCGGTGCAGTGCATGTGTGACCTGCTGGTGGCGCATCCCTACTTTAACTACGTCCAGAACATTGCCCAGTTGCTGGTCTACATGCTAAACAGCAATTACCTGGAGATGCGGACGGCTGTCAACCAGTGCTTTCGCTCAGTCTTCGCCAACGACAAGCGATTGGAGATGACCCTCTTCATAGTCCGTCGCATCAATCACTTGATCAAAACCAAGCAGAACAACGTCCACGTCGAGTGCATCACATGTCTGATGAGTCTCAAGATCAAGAACGTAAATCTGGACGCGGAGAAGGAGAACGAGCTGAAGCAAAAGAAGCTGGAATCGCATCGTCAACGCTTGCTAAGCCTGTCCAAGAAAGAGCGCAAGCGGCGGAAGAAGCTCACCGAGGTCAACAGAGAGCTGGAGGAGACCCGCGCTGAGGAGAACAAGCAAGACAAGCACCAGAAACTAACCGAGATCATCAAGATGGTGTTCACCATCTACTTTCGCGTTCTGAAAAACGATCCGACGTCGCGCGTACTGAGCGCCATTCTAGAGGGCTTGGCAGAGTAAGTAGTTTTGCATGTCGTATGGCTAAAAACCTCTCTAACTTACTGAATTTATTTAAGATTTGCGCACGTCATTAATCTGGAATTTTTCGCCGATCTTATCGATGTGCTCAACCGCATTTTAGAGGATCAAGAAGAGCTGGGTTACCGAGAGCGATTGCACTGTGTCCAGACCATTTTTGTGATCCTTTCGGGACAGGGTGAGGTGCTCAACATCGATCCCATCCGATTCTACCAGCACTTTTACCAGAACATGCTGGCCGTGCAGGCGGGCAAGAATCACGAAGACTTCACCATCATTCTGCGAACCTTGGATGAGGTGCTGGTGAAGCGGCGCAGAAACATGAGCCAGCAGCGTCTGATGGCCTTCGTGAAGCGGCTACTCACTGGAAGCCTGCACCTGCTGCACAACGGCACCCTGGCCACGCTGGGCACCATTAAACAGACCTTCCAGCTCACCTCTGTGCTCGACAATCTGCTGGACACGGACACTAGCATTGGCTCAGGTCGCTATGACCCCGAACTGCAAGATCCCGAGTACTGCAATGCCGCCAGCACGTCGCTGTATGAGTTGGCCCTTCTGGCACGCCACTACCATCCCACGGTGCGCCGCATGGCTGTTCACATTGCCAACGGAGTGCCGGCCTCCGGCGAGGGAGCGCTGCCCACGGAGATCGGCAAGCTGTAAGTGACACTAATATGGGTAAAATTATATCCCTACAGATATTGTGTTGTTTAAGATCCTCCCACGAGCTGTTCACGCAGTACGACAGCACACAGATGGCCTTCAATCCGACGATACCGCTGCCAAAGGCTGGCCAACCGAAGCTGAAAAAGGGCAAACAATTGTATATCCGCTCGGACTTCAAGCAGCAGTACGGAAAACTGCTGCGAAAGGACAAAGTTTTACACGCAAAGGATAAGCTACAAATCGATTTTCTTAGTGCGCTTCAATAAAGGATTGTTGGAGGTAGAAATTTAACTTTACTGTTGAACGTTTTATGAAATTCTACAATAGAACCAAAGTGATCATTGCTCATTTTTTTAAACTCACTAAACAAATCTTAACATTCTTATACAAAATACACATCTGAAAGTGTGTTGGATTTAAAACAAAGTGCGCCGATCCAAACATCCCCATTTCCTATTAACATTTAAACATATTGCTTCCTTTGTAAACGATTTCTTGTAGTATATTTCAATGAATGGGTTTTAAAACTATTCGTAAGGATCTATGTATATTTGGAGCTCCAAACATTCTAAGAGGAGACTAAGCCTAGGGTCGCTAAGTCTAATGCCATATAACCGGGTACAAGTGCCTGTGGGGATCGATCGCCTATGCGGTGGGTCCTCCGCGCTGCCTTTGCTGTCCAACGCCGGCCGGCGGCAGATACTCTCGGTTTCCGCCGGCCACCAGCTGGGCCTGCGGCTGCTGGCCGAAGCCGGATACCGCGTTCTCGGGAAGAGCGCCGGCAGCGGTGGCCAGGAGTCCGACGGCAGCTCCGCTCGGCGGCAATCGGTTGACTCCGGAGCTCGGGACGATGGCGGGCCGCAGGACGGCTCCGGCGCCATACGGACCCTGGCTCTGGGCGGCTGGTGTGGGCGTGGCCGAGGGATAGGAGCCCCGGCCGGAGTTGTAGCCAGCCGCCTGGGGCACTGCGGTGGCCCGAAGGGTCACTCCGCTCGTGGCCACAGGAGCTCCGAAGGCAGTGGTGGAAGCTGCGGCGGCCGGACGATAGGCATTGTTGGCACTGGACTGGCCACTACCTCCGCCGGAGTAGTCGTAGATGTAGGCGTTGTTGGCGTACAGGCTGGGTGCCGACACGCAGTCGTACTGGTTCCACCACACGCAGACCAGCGTCTCCTGGCTGAAGACCGTGCCGTTGGGACATAGGAAGGAGTAGGTGCGGTTGAGGGCGCAGATGTGGAACACCTGGCACTGGGCCTCGATGTCCGCATAGTAACCGGGCAGGGGCTGTTGCGAGCAGTCGAAGTTGGTGCGCGGCACTTGGGCGTACACGGGGTAATCCACTCCGGCCACACCCGGAATGGCCGAGTAGTCGCCCTCCGCATCACTGTAGTCGCCGCTATCTGCGGCGCCACTCGGAACCCGAATGGCGGAGCCACCTGCCGCAGTGCTTCCGTACGGCGGCGTCTGCGGTCCGTAGGGTCCGCTGCGGGACGCTGAGGTGGCTATTCCGCCGGGCGAAGGCCTTCGCGGCTGAACCACCGGACTGCTGGCCCCCACAATGGCCGGTGCTCCGAAGGCAGTGGTCGCCTGGCCACTGGGCGTGAATCCGACGGCGGGCGAAGGAAACAGTCCCGCTCCGTACGCAGTGGTGGCCGGGGCGGGGGCGGGGGTCAGGGCAATGGCCGCCGACGTGGGATACGGACCGGTGGCCAGTCGACCTCCGGCGGTGGCTCCCCCCTCGGGTCGCCCGTAGTTGTAGCCACTTTGCGCCTGCCAAGAAGAGATTTTGGAAGCGGGTTCGGGAACAGCATTATTGCATTATTGCATCATTGCATCATTGCACTCACCTGGACCTGCAACTGGGCCAAGCAGCCGCTCCATAGCAGCACCAGAACTGGAAGAATAAAGAGTCGGCCCAACATTAGTGCTTTATGATCGAGTGGGAATCGAGTGGGCGAATCTATCTGCTGCTCCGAGCTGTGCAACTGGCGACGCACCAAGTGGAAATGAACGCCCTGCCAGCCATCGATGGCGATGGCAGCCCAGAGTTTCGCAGTCCGTATTAAGGCCAAGTACGTCGCGATTCTGGGCGCTGATAGCGAGCGCGGTTTAGACGGTTCTGCACCGCGGTCTTTATTTATCAGCTTCCTACTCCTCCGCCGGGGCACAGTGGGCATAATTTCAGTCAAGGGACAGGGATTCTTCTAAATCGAACTTGACTTTTTCAAAAAAAAAAAAATCATATCCCTAACGTTGTTAAAATCAATAAATCAATAATATCAAAACTTGACTGATATTGCTTGTTCAACATTTTAAAGTACATTAATCATTATAATCATAACTCAGTCATACGACTGTTAGTTGGGTTAGTACCATAAGATTTAGTATCCGAAAGTAATAGATTCAATAAATAAATAACAAAGCAATTACAAATAAAAATTAATCATTATTAAATGAAAATTACACAACCTACAGTAGCGGGCAAAGAAATTTGGAAACCTTAGAAATGGCCTCTATATGCCAACTTTGAACGGTCGTAAGATATGTACTAAAGGTTCTATTAAGTATTTAATATTTAATTACCATCTAGTTAAGTGTATCGTAGACTTTTAGAGTAAAAAAAAAAGTGAAACATAACGAAAATTACTGAAATGATAAAGATGCCATATTGGCTTTGCGATCGGAAAATTTAGGCCTCCGCGTTATATGCTTTAAATTAAAATTTTTAAATCATTTGAAAATTACTTTAAAAATAAAAATAAATTAATTTGATTTGAGTTTATCAGTTTTATAAAAAATATCAATAATTTAAATTTAAGTTTTTTTCTAAAAAAAAAAATAGAAAGGTAAAAGGAGTAGTTTTGGTTAGCCAATTCTTTCATTTAATTTGTTTATTACAAATTTTCTGGAAATATTGTTTCATAATTTATTAAAATTTACAAATTTTTTTTTTCTGTCTGGATTTATATGTCCGCTTCTGTAATAGTTGCAAAAAAAAAAGATTTTATTTTATTATTCCTAATTCTTGGTATTGAATCAATATTTAAAAGTATTTTCCAGATACGCATTCTGTGAAGGTTTCATTGAGCGGTGAGCAAAGAGCTCGAAAATATTTAAATGATACTTTTAAGGCAGTCTTCGCCCCACTGTGCCAGTTGCAAAAGAAACGCACCGCAACATCAATTGGCTGCCAAGAATGGCGGCAGTCGGTGGTGGGCCAACAACACGACGCATGCCTCGTAAATATGCAAGGCAGCAAAAACTTGGACAGACAGACGCCCCTCCAAAGGAAGTGCTAATGGTGACGGGGCGGACAGCCGATCGCTCGTCACTGTTGAGTTACGCGCCGCAGTGCTGATGACTTGGGTTGGGTTTGGGTTTGGGTCTGGGTTTGGGTCAGCGTCGACTGGTTGGCCAACTCACCTGCCACGACGCATGCGCCACGTTGCAGAGGCACTTGCTCCATGCCGGAGAGGATTCGAGTTTGCGGGATTGTCCTGGACGAGTGCACTGCTAATCCTTTCGATCGACGACCTGTGAACCGTCCAAAACTCTGGTGACAACTGCAAACACACTCAGAACGCTGTTAGAAATTTATACCAATTTGGAGTCCGGCTGCGGGATGCGGCATCTTTGCCAGATTTATGTGGCAGCTGCCCCAAAGACCGATGACAATTCGTCAGTTCGTTTGTGTCTGCCTGCGCTTTAGCTTGAGCAGATTTACGACTCTGGATTGCCCATTGTTTGGAACTGCTGCCAGTTATCAGAATTCATAAATCAGCGAGAGAGGGAACCAACATGACGTATACGTAATATTAGTTACATGTACAATCAATTCAGTGTTATGGCTTTTTCAAGTGCGATTAAACTTGTCCTTCGATTCTCTTGCAAATGTGAATGCAATCAATGCAATGACAAAAATATTTAAATTTCCCCTGATTATACGATCGCCGCATGACTTTGGCTCGACCTTAGATTTATATTAGAGCTTAAAAGTGCAAATGCCATTGGATTTGTGTCAAGGCTCGTGGACTCTTGGGATTAACCGACTGACTTATTGGAGAGCCCAGCTAATGCAGTAATGATTTAATCAGTTGGCTGCCCCATTGCCATCCATCACCCATCACCCATCATCATTATTTATTTTTCTGTTTATTTTTATATGTACTTTATTAAGTTTAAATAAATATTTACAAACAGACAGCAAGACGTACAGATTGTTCGAATAGATCGCTCCTACTGGATACTGGCTACTGGATACTGGATGGAGAGTGTTCTCGTTCATTAAGACTAAGCAGTAAGAAACTAATTTAATACAACTCTCGGTTAAACTTAAACGGAAACGGAAGCGGAAGTGGAAACGGAAACGGAAACGGCTTGTCTGGGCATCAGGAACATTCAAGTCTGTGCCTGTCTTCGATTCGAGTATTTCGATTACATATTTACAAACTAATTGCGCAGATTGCATTGGCTAAACGAAGTCGATTAACAAGTAACTGGCTCAGCGTAAAAAAGAATGATAAAATCAAACTGAACGGAGGAGAAGGAGGAGGAGAAGGAGGAGGAGGAGGATGGAGGGTAGAGGATAGAGTGTGGAGTTGACTAAAGTTAGGCATTAACTCGCAAGGTGTAGGAACCGCCACCGGCCTCGCTCTACCGCCTGCTGCTGAACTTGGACGCCAGCGAATATAATGACTTGAGCAGCTCCAGGGCCCGCCGGTCCGAGTTGGCCTCCAGTGGCGGTGCCGTCGTCGTCGGCGTCGTCGTGCTATCCTCCAGCTCCTCGACGCGAATCTCGAACTTGGTCGTCTCCTCGTAGCTGCCCGCCCCCGAGCCTGTGGTGGTCGGCAAATCCGTGGTCGTCGTGTAGCCCGGCGTGGTGCTGGTGAAGTACTCGCCACCGCTGCCGCGTCGGAAAGTGGTCACCGGGATGCGACCGGTGGTGGTGCTGGTGCTGGTGGTGGTGGTGGCCAGCCGCTGCCTGGAGCTCTTTCCGCCGGCGGCCGGCGACTTGCTGTCAATGTCGATGAGGGCGTTCAGCAGATGCTTCCTACTCCGCTCCAGCGCCTTGCCGTTGTGGTCGTCGCAGGTCTGGATGAGCAGCAGCAGCAGACTGAGCACCTGGCGGTCGTGCTCCGCCTTGGCCATCACGTTGCGCAGATGCAGTGCCTCCTGCTCGTTGAGGCCGCCGAACAGCTTGTTGGCTATCCGCTGCAGACCGCTGCTGGAGGGCAGCGCATCCCTGGGGATGTCGTAGCTCCGGAAGATGTCCTCCCACTCGTAGCGCGTGGGCGTCTTGGTGGTCACCCTGTAGGCTACAGGCGAAGCTGTCGTCGAGGTCGAGATCGAGCTTGTGGGCGTGGAGGTGCGCTGCATCAGGCCATCGTTGATGGTCAGGGGATCCAGGAAGTCGGTCTGCGACTTTAGCGCCCACGGATGCTCGGTGGGCTTGTGGTGGGTGGTCACTAGCTTCTGGGGCCTGGCATCCTGGAGCAGATCGTTGCGGGACTTGACGAACGACTGCGTCTGCTGCTGCTGCAGGAACTCCTCGCCGGAGTCCTGACTCGGCGGTGCCAACTCCCCGGAGAACTCCAACTCCTGGCCGCGAATCGTGCTGACCGTACTGCCCTCGAACGGCTCCATGGTGGTGGTGGTGGTGGTGGTGGTGTAGTAGTCGGGCGCTGGCGTCGAGTCGAACTTGTGGTTGATCTCAGCGGCAATGCTGTTGGGCGTGGCCGTGGGCGTGGGCGTGGTGGCTGCCTCGGGCAATCCCTTGGTGGGCAGATAGTACTTGGCCGTTCCGTCGCTGAAGAGCGATGCATCGGTGGTGGTCACGGGCCGGAAGTTGGGCGTGCTCGGCGGCTCCGTGGGCCGGGCTCGGGCAGCCAACTCCGCACGGAAGGTGGCCGGATTGTCGAGGTAGCTGGACAACGCATTGGAGAAGATCTGGGCGATCTTTCGCGACTCTGGCTTCTCCGCCAACGCACCCACCGTGGAGCCCGTGCTGCCGATCTGCGGGAAGTGCTGGTACTTGGAACCCGGCTCCGACTGCGTCCCATTGGACTGGCTGGAGAGCAGTCCGGCGCTGATGTCACCCTCGCCGGTACCGCGACCTTGGGCGGACTTCAGGCCAAACAGATTGCTGTACTTCTTCACGGTGGTGTCGCTCAGCAGACTCTTCTTGATGTCGTCCGCATTCTCGCTGATGGCCGGCGGATTCTCCGAGGTGGTCAGCAGGGCGGTGGTGTCCGATGGCTTGGCGGTGGGCAGTGCGGGTGGCTTCACCGACAGTTTGGTCTTCACACCCAGCTTGTCCGGCTTTTCCGACTTTTCCGACTTTTCCGACTTTTCCGGCTTCTCCGACTTGGCCAGGGCATTGGCGGTCTCATTGTGCTCCTGGGCAAAGTACTTGGCGAAGGAGACCAGGGCATCGGGTCCCGAGGACGGTGGAATCTCCAGGCCAACCCTGGCGGGAGCTGCCGCGGCTGCGTTCAGTTCCACGTCCTCGAACTGATCCTTCAGCAGGTTCATGGTCTTCAGCATCTCCTGCACGTTGCGGTAGACGGACTCATCCTTCACGGGATTCGGGGCAAAGAGGAGCACGTCCTCTCCAGCTGCAGCTGCCGCATTCCCCCTCGGCGACTTGCCGCTCTTGGGCAGATAGGTTGGTCCGCTGCCGGCGGAGGCGGGTGACGGGGTGGTGGGCAGATAGTCGCGACTCTCGGTGGACTTTGATGGGGCTCGGAACTCCCCGGAACTGGCCACATCGTAGTGATGCCTCATGCCGATCACAACCGGCCTGAAGGTGCTGTCCAGTTCGATGCTGGCCTTGGGCGCCACCGAGGACTCGAGGAAAACACCTGAGCTGGCGCCTCCGAAGCGGTGAGGATTGGGTGTGGTGGCCACATGACCGCCCTTGATGTGGTTCAGCTTGCCCTCGGTGCTCTTCGTCTTTGGCAGACTGGGCACGGTGGGCGTGTAGAAGGGCGTGGACCTGCTGGGCTCCAGGCGGCGCACCGTGGAGTGGCCTCCGGCGGAGTAGTGGGGCGTGGTCTGCGGCACAGAGCGCGTGGAGTGTGCCTCGAAATATTCGGATTTGTCCTTGTTTGGGATGGGAGCCACCTTCTCCCGCTCCTTCTCCTTGCTGTGCTCCTCGCTGCCACTGTAGCGATGCTGACCCCTGTGGCCATTGCGCGCCCTTTCGGTGGAGACTCCTCGCTCCTGGGAGGCCACTGGAGTCCGG